ACACAGAGGTCCCCATATTGGCACTTCCGGGTCCCCATTTTCTAAATTTATGAATATATCATTCTAGCTCAAAGACTCAGTTTATTTACTTATTCCAGGATACTTACGGGGTAAAATAAGTTAAACAATACCAATTCTGCCACGAAATCGCTTAGTCCCCATTTTAAGATTTTTTGGCAGGGTCCCCAGATCGAAGTCCAAACACGTATGTGTGTGTGTGTGTGTGTGTGTGTAAATGTTGTTGTTTTTGAGGTATAAAGAGACCCACGAATTCATGCCCACCAGGAATTGTAAATTTTCATATTATGCACAAGTACTAATAAGTTTTTCATCCATGAAATAAATTCCCCACAAACCAACATTTTTTCCTCAAACTGTAAAAATTTAACCCCACAAAAATATGTGATTTTACACACACTTGTGTACCAAAGAGACTTTCAGGTATTTGATGTACCAGGTAATTAAGTAATGATATCATTGTTTTTACTCGTGATAGAAAAGAAAGTGCCTGAAACTCATTCACTCTTAAAAAAGTTTTACTTAGTAGTCATTTTTTACTTGAAATAACAAAGATAAGTAATAGATAATTACTAAGCATTTACTTAAAAATTAAAATCAATTACTGAAATATATGTCAATTACTAGATTCAAAAGTTTTACTTGATTTTTGTATTTTAAAGAATTGTTTTACTTACACACTAAAACGTTTTACTTAGTAATTTATATTTACTTAAATTTGTGTATATAAGTAATAACATTACTTGGTCTTTACTTACATTTTACTACTATTTACTATATAATTAATATTTTAATGCCCCCGTAAACGAAGTTTCGGGGGTATATAGTTTTTGTCGTGCATGTCTGTCTGTCTAGCTGTCTCTCTGTTTGTCTGTTTATCTGCAGAAACTTTAACCTTGCCCATAACTTTTGATTTAGCGGAGCTATGACTTTCATATTTCACACGTGTATTCCTTTTGACAAGACCTTTCTTTGAGTTTCACCAAATTTGACCTTGACCTTGAAATTTGACTCACTTATACACAAAAATTCCAAACTTATTCTTTATCCAAATCTTTTGAACAGTAAATACCAGGACATTTATACTTCACATATATATTTTTTGTTGAAAGAACTTTCATTGAATACCAGCAACTATGAAATTTTGACTTTGACCCTGGAAATTTCCATCCTTGTGAAAAAAAAACTTTAACCTTGGCCATAACTTTTGAACGGTAAGGAATAGTGCTTTCATACTTACATATATGTAATCATTTGGAGAAGACCATTCATAGGATACCAAGAACTCTGACCCCTTGACCTTGGAGTTTGACCCACTTTTAAAAAGCAAACCTTGACTGTAAATGGATTAGGGTTAGTGCATGCATACTTTACATAGTTCATCCTTGTGACAAGACCTTCTTTGGGTACCACCAAATCTGTCCCTTTATCCTTGACCTTGGAGTTTGACCTACATTTCAAAATTGGTAACCTTGACCATAACTTCTGAAGGGTTGAGGCAAGTGTTTCCATATTTCAAATATGTATTTTTTGTGGCAAGATCTTTCATTAGGTACCAATATCCTTGACATTTTGACCTTGAAGATATCAAGAAATCCCAATAATTTAGATTTGCATATATAAAGAAAAGTTTAACCTTTGCTATGTTGCCATACAGGGGCATAGGTGTTTCACAAACACATCTTGTTTGAATTGTATTTAATTGATTTACTTAAAACAAAAATTTATTTACTAAATCAAGGAAAATTCATATCAGTAATTACTTAAATATGGTAGTCTAATCACTATTTGCCTGTGAGAAGGAGTTATCTTTCTTCTAAATATACCTTCATGTGAAAAAATAGTCACACTAATAAAAATGCGATATTAAGTACTTGAAATGTTTAACCATTTTTAAAATGGTCCTTAAAAAGATACAACTTATCCAATTTTTAAGACTTTTGAAGTTGGAATCAAATGTTATATTGTTATATATAATAAAACAATTACAAGCAAACTGGCAAAAGAAATAGAAAGTATAATTTTTTCCATCAGAAGTAGATTTCTTCTATTAAACTATTTAGAGGGGCCAAATAGGGAACTCTAATAAATATAAATCTGTGAGTAGTACTCACATGTCAGAGGGTCGGTACCTCGCAGTGTTTCTAGTAAATAATGTCGATTTTAGTAAATATGATAAGTATTTCTTAATTTCAGAATTACATTTACTTAGTAATAATTCATAAAATTTAGTAAATAGAAAGCATATTATCTCTAAATTAAGTAATAATAATTTAACAAAAATGAGTAGTTCATTTACTAACTTAAAGTAATACAATTCCTATAATGTAAGTAATTCTATTGATACTTAGTAAATCATTTTATAAGTAAATGAATTCATCCTTATTACTAATTATGTTTACAATTACTAACCATGATAGTCATTTACTTGCTATTCTGACTAAATGGATTACTAATGATTACTAGTTTTTCTTAATCTAATATCTTATTTTAAAAACAACAAGTAAAACTTTTTTTAGAGTGTTTAGTTTTTTATTTTAAGCCAGATTTTTAAACAATCTGAAAATTTAGACCACAATACATGCTTGAACTCATTTTACCCCCTTTTTACAGAATGCCATCTTAGAAAAATATCCTCATGGTGCTAAAACCTCAGATATGAGTTTAACAAAAGATTTCCAACAAGCCAGGTACTGAGTCACTAGAATTTATTGTTCATAGTTTTTAAAAATTTTATTATACTCTTATAAAACTTATGTACAGGAATATTGTGCTAACTAAAATTTAAGATAACTGAAATTTACTTGAAATTTGTTTTCTTCACACTGTTGCTAGACTGACAATAGAACGATTGGAAAATGAGAAAAAAGAGATCCAGCATGAACTCCAGATTTACAAGCAGCAAAGTGGAGGGGCCCAGGTAAAATTAAAAAAAGGTTCATCCTGTAAATAATACATGTACATGTTTACAAAGTACAGATAGCAGGGTGGAAAGATACTTGTATGTGTAAAAATTAGGGATGTCAAATTGGTCAATTTTTGATACTCGGTTACTCGGACGTTTTTCCAATCGAGTACCCGGGTACTCGGTAAAAGTGTCAATAAATATGAACAATTGAATTGATGAATGTAATACATTGTAAACTCTTGTAGAAATAAAACCACATGCTCTGATAGGAGATGTACCCGTAAATGCATTTCTGTTGTAACAATGATGATCACTTCGTGCCCGACGAAATTTAATACAACATTTTTTTTAAGTTCAATTTATTTATCAGATAAACACAATAAATAAAGTTTTAAGTGGTTCACAGTGTTTCTGTGTTAAAAAAAAAACTACTCCGTAATTGTAATGTAACTCCTTGTTGCGTTTGACGTCCAGGTATCAGTCATACAGTTTGTCTTGAACTTGACCAAGTCCTAACAGAGCGGATTTACGATTTTCGTATACTTTTCGATCCCAGATTTTACAGTATTACGTGACGGTATTTTATAGTTTGGTTCAACGATGGACATCAGTTTTTTAAAGCATTTGCCTTTAACCATTTGTACATTGTATTGGCATGTAATCAAACACAACCATATCAACAATCGCGTATGTAATATCATCTATCTCTTTTCCCGCGAATTTACGGCTTCTCAGAGAATTGACAAAATTGTCTAATTTATTCAATCATAACAGACCTTAAACGATTTTCAGTGAAAACAAATAATCAAAGCAAATCAAAAAATAAGGGTAGAAGACAGCCGAAGGTGAGAAAAGCCAGTTAACAGGTGCTTGGTCACGATAATTGCTGTATAAACACTGCCATGGCACAGGCGATAACGGTCATTTAGAGGAGTAGGAAACCCTAATTACTGTATGTACAAGTGCAATGAGTATTTTACGTTTTAAAACAGATTGTTTAATGCATTAATAAATAAGCTGAGAAATATTTGAAAATATACATCCGAGTAACCGAGTACCGATTTTAGTATTCGATACTATGACGATCGATCGAGTACCCGGTTAACCGGGTACTCGTTGACATCCCTAGTAAAAATGAAATTCCTTAAGCTACATTGTATACTTCTATTCAGCATTGAAGCTTGGAATGTTGTGTATAGGAATTTTGGTAGAATAAATAAGTGAAATTATATGAACTTTGTACCACTCAATTTAAATTCAACAGTTTGTTCATGCAAATGTCTATAATGTTTCATCTGATGTTCACTCTGCCAAGAACAATTTAATCCAAAGCCCTGTACTTATTATATTTTTGCTAAAAAAAAAATAGCTTAGGCCAGATAAAATTAATCTTTAGATTCTCATCCTAATTTGCTAAAAAATTGGGGCGGGTGGGCGGATTTTATTTTCTATTTTTTATTATTGAAAATATCAAAAAAATTAGAAACAATTTTTCCTTATGTTAATGCCTATATGAATAGATTTGTATGACTTCTCATAGGCCTTTCCCCTAAATACTTTTTAGTTTCGCCAACAAATCCTTCTGTTTAAAAATTTTGTAAAATATCACAGATTTCTACCTTTCTCAAAAATTCGATTGTTCTTGGGATTCTACGTTTGACATTGTAGTAGGTAATATTTGCAAACTCTATTAAATATTTTACTGAAAAGCCTAGGCTTGAACAGTTTCAATATTTAATATTTTCTTAATACTATTATTCTCTTAATTCTGCCAACGATGTTTTATTTATATATTTCTTTTATACAAACTCACATACAGTAGAGATCGTTAAAACTTGACCAGGTGCATTTCCCTCATCAATTTTTACCTAGTACATGCGCGGATCTAGAGGAGGGGGGGGGTCGGGGGGGTCAGCCCCCCCCCCCCCCTGGAATTTACAAGGTTAAAAAATGTATATACTAAAACAAAGGAAAAGTTACCATGGACCCCCCTTGGAAAACGCAGACCCCCCTGGTAAACACGAATATGTGTAAAATGGGTACGGAAAGTTAAAGATTTGAGGCAATAGAAGTCACCCTTACCCCCCCCCCCCCCCCCCCCCCCCCCCCCCCCCCCCCCCCTACGAAATAGTATTTTCTTTTTTGGGTAATTTTAAATTTTCCTTTTTTTTTTTTTTTTTGCTTGTCAAGAAATTTCTGGGATGGGATTTTTTTTTGGACTGAGGTGGACCCCCCTGGAAAAAATTTCTGGATCCGCGCCTGTAGTAGTTTAAAGTATCTTTAAAACTTGCTTATCAAGATGTGTTTATGCTATTTTTTTCTTCTCTGCCTCTTCTATACTGACGCATTATCTTTCCCTTTCATATCTAAACTGTTTTTATTGCCGATTTTTCTCCATTCTTCACATGGCTCTTTTGCTATAAATAGCGACACGCGACTTTTGATACAAACGGGAGATACTGTAGACGTACTTTTTTCCACGGGGTCATAATTACGTGGAATCCCAATTTTTGTTTAATCCGCGTGTAGTAAATTACGCGGATTCTTAAAACTGTCACTATATGCCTTACAGTTATATTAAGTACACTTGGACAAATTTCCGCGGAAAAGTTGTGACCGCGTACATAGCGGAAATTAATACCGCGCGGAAAAAAGTACTTCTACAGTAACTCTAAAACTTTGATCCAAATTCTTACTGAATAAAAAGACATTGAAATATACTTTTAACACCCAAAAATCAAAATAAAAAACACTTTGAGAGGGGCGGGGATGAGAATCTAAAGATTAATTTTATCTGGCCTTATTTTGAAATATTAATTGTCATCAGCTTGTACAGCCTTGCTTTTTCAAGCCACAAAATGAGTTTCTTTTAATTCTTAATAGTTATTAGTTTCTTTTCATATTCAACAGTTATCAGGTGACGTAATAACCAAGGTTACATCCTATGATAGACTGATGGATGAAAATGTGGAAATCAAAATGCAGCTACGAACAGTGGAGACAGAGAAGGATAAATTTAGGCTGGAAATGGAGAGAGTGAGTAGTGTTTGATAGAGAAAGATAATTATCGGCTGGAAATGGAGAGAGTGAGTAGTGTTTGATAGAGAAAGATAATTATCGGCTGGAAATGGAGAGAGTGAGTAGTGTTTGATAGAGAAAGATAATTATCGGCTGGAAATGGAGAGAGTGAGTAGTGTTTGATAGAGAAAGACAATTATAGATTGGAAATGGAGAGAGTGAGTAGTGTTTGATAGAGAAAGATAATTATCGGCTGGAAATGGAGGGAGTGAGTAGTGTTTGATAGAGAAAGATAATTATAGTCTGGAAATGGAGAGAGTGAGTAGTGTTTGATAGAGAAAGATAAATAGAGACTGGAAAAAAGTAAAAATGGTATGTTCTCCGGTGGGGCTATATTCAGAGCTGCCAACCCTTACGATTTTGGCATAAGGCGTACAAAATCAGCATCTAAAATACACCTTATGATTTCTCTCTATATTCCTCCGATTTCAGTTTTCCTCGTTCAAAGTTTATAATACCGGTATTTTCATAGCTGACAGTCTATAGTTTCTACTATTATAATATATTCATAATTCTTACAACGCTTGCTTATATCATCGTTTCAGTTTTAGAAGGCCGATCACATTAATCTCAATGTTTTAAAGTAAACAAAATGGAAACATGCCTCAGATTACATGTCCATTTACAAAACATTTTCAGTGACAGGGGGCCTAGGTGGTCCCTAGACTCCGCCTTACTATTTGTCATTTCAGAATGTTGGCAGCTCTGAATATTTCATCTCTTTGAGGCTAACATATCCAATGTTGCCCTAAACCCCAGTCAATATTTGTATAGTAGTATACAGTATGTTTTTTGATTTGAAATGAAAGAGGTTTGTTTGTATGGCTGCATATGATTTATAAAGGATGACACTTCAAGTATGTTACATAAGACTGTTTATCCTAAATTTGTGGAAGTACTGACAGGACACCATCTAAAAATCAGTTATGGACAAATGTATTTTTGAAGGTCAAATGTAAAAAGGAACATTGTCCCTTGTTAAAGTTTAAATTTTCATTTGCAGTTATAAATACATATAGTATATTTGTGGTATTTTTATTTTTCAGCTAAAGAAGGAGTTATCTAACTTTGGTCCAGATTTCTTTGAGGAAATAGAAGATTTAAAATACAACTACAAGCAGGCTCTTGAAAAGAACATTTTATATGAGGAGCGACTACAACAACTGGGAGTGAGATAGTGTCTGAGAAAAAGTGGAATTGGAATTATTGTGACAAAGAATATACTGCTATATTATATATTTTCCTTCTTCTGGAAAAAATATCATTGTAAAAACTTTTCAGCAAATACAGAGGCAAATATGCATGGCTATAAGTAGGTTGATTGATAGGGCATTTGCATGTATTACTATTGAAACTGCATAGTAGTATAGTTAGTAAAAATGAATGATTTGTATGCATATATCTCTGAAACAGATGGAGGGCATTCAAACTCTTCTTCCGTCCCATGTGTACATGGATAAGTGCATTCCCACTGGAATGATTTTAATGAAGTAATCTCTTGTAACTTCATTTGACTGTAAAAAATATTGTAGCTGCGACTGTAATAAAGAACTTGATATAGGAAACTTTATATGTGCTTTTTTTTTTGTTTGTAGATATATTATGTACAGTCTGTCTTTTTGAAGAAAATGTACATTGTAGATCTTGAAATCATTTGCCGTCCTTTCAGCATCTTTATTATTATGTTTAGAGGGGTCTCATATTTATTTGAATTTCCATTTCAGAATAAACATGGATGCTATGTACAATTTTATTGGTCTGTAGACAAGGGAAATCTTTCTATTCTTAGGTCTCTTTAGTCACTCAAGTAACATTGCTTCATTCCTCAGTGCACCATCCATAGTTTTATATTATTCTCAGCCGACTGGTTTTCGCTCACCTCGATGAAGTCAAGATGAGTTTATGCTATACCCCTGGCGGTGGTGTCAGCGTCCCAATTAAACAGGTTGGGAACACATCCCCTTTAGCGAGATCATCTCGCTAAAGCGCGATTATCCCTCTTTAGCGGAAGAAAAAACATTACCATAAACGGGAATTTTGTTGTTTTCGTTATAAAATAATCAAAAATCTCGTGCGTATTGAAAATCCGGGAGAAAGCTGCATTGAAGCGTGACTTCACTACAAAAAACTGACAATATTGGCCAGAAATTTAAGACAATCACTGCTGCATGTGAGAATAAGATGCTGAAATCCACGTGTAAATCGTGCCTTTTTAGCGAAGGTTTCAAGATTTACTATAAAATATGTATAGATATCCAAATTATATTTGTTAAGGTGTTAGTTTTCCATTCTTGTACAAAAGTTAAAAATAATGTTCCTTAGAAACCCATGATATTTGCTTAAATATTTGATCTTTGGTTGACGCGAAAAAGTACGGAAGCGCAACAGGGTTGTAACGTTTGTGGAAAAGTCATGATTAAAAAACAAGTATAAACTGAGATGTGTATAGAATATGGGTAAACCATTAAGTCAATGGAATATTGAAAACAAATTAATAGAAAAAGGTTTATATTGAGTCTAACCTATATTGACTTAATACAAATGTTGATGCATGGTAAACTTGTAAATTCAGGAAAGCATGATTCAACGGCGTCGGAAGCAAATTGGAAAAAAAAGGGGGTGGGGGGGGGGGGGTAATTCAAAGAGAAAAAATTCAACCTGAAAAAAACTTGACAAAAAAGAGGAGAATTTTACCATTGTTCAAACCTGAAAATCCTATTCCGTCCGGGTAGAAGGGGGGGTGGGGGGTGGTTAGCTTTGAACTTTTTTTCCGTTGCCAATTACCCATCTTTTCATTAACACAGAAACGTGCCAGTTGAAAGTGTAAACATGTTACCTTGAATTAAATTTAATAACTATACGAAATGACAGAAACCGAAATGTGAAATTGCATTGTTGAAATTGCTGCTACTTACGTGAAATTAATTATAATTTAAAGAAGTATTCCCTAGGTATTCGTATTTTAATGACATAAATTCTTAATGTTTTTACCGGTGGCAATGAACAGTTCTTCGTTTGAGGACACTTTAATTGCGTTGGAAACATATGCTGGGATCCTGCATAAGTTAAAATGTGTAAATTTTAATAGGGAATCAGATACTTTCCAAAACATAGGCTACATGAAAGCACACAAACCAGGTGGCATTTCTATATTTAAAAAAAGGGGGGGGGGCTTCTGAAAAACCTACCCCCAAAAATCAAATAAATAAAAAAAAGCTTAAAGTGTTGATTGTTATTGTTAAATGCCGAGTCGGCGAAATTTCAGCCGTATTTTGGCGGCAGATGAATACTGGTAAAGACATTCTTTATTTTGAAAGAATATCTACGAACATTGCATGGAATACTTCGAATTTTACATTTTATTATACCTTGTAATTGTTTTATTGAGTTAATAAGAGAGGCTATTGTCACCTTTAATAGCTTTCTTATTAGAAGATCGAGTCTTAATTGATCACCTATAAGACTTTCAATTAAAATGGTAAAGATTTAAAAATATGTCGATAGCTTTTACCATGCCTGATAAGAGTCTTGGTATATGATACATTTAAAGAAATCTAGTCGCACATCCTACCTACTGTATTTGTTTATATTATACTTTCATGTAATTACTTGAATCTGATTCGTCGAATAACATTTGATAAAAACACTACTACCCGCTGAATAATGAAGCCACGCCCTCGTGCGTAGCAACAGTCAACATTGCTTGAGGACGGGTGGTATTACAAACAAGAGGCCCATGGGCCACATCGCTCACCTGAGTAACTTGGGTGATGCAGATCTTTTTGAAAGATTTGTTCTATATATATTTCTATGTAAAACTTGGATTCCCCATTGTGGCCCCGCCCTTACCCGGGGGTCATGATTTTAACAATTTAATATTTACACTACCAAAGGATGCTCCCACATAAGTTTCAGCTTTCCTGGCCCAGTGGTTCTTGAGAAGAAGATTTTCAAAGATTTGTTCTATATATTTCTATGTAAAACTTGGATTCCCTATTGTGGCCCCGCCCTAACCTCGGGGGTAATAATTTTAACAATTTAATATCTACACTACCCAAGGATACTTCCACATAAGTTTCAGCTTTCCTGGCCCAGTGGTTCTTGAGAAGAAGATTTTTAAAGATTTGTTCTATATATTTCTAGGTTAAACTTGGATTCCCTATTGTGGCCCCGCCCTACCCCCGGGGGTCATGATTTTAACAATTTAATATCTACACTACCCAAGGATGCTCCCACATAAGTTTCAGTTTTCCTGGCCCAGTGGTTCTTGAGAAGAAGATTTTTAAAGATTTATTCTATATATTTCTAGGTTAAACTTGGATTCCCTATTGTGGCCCCGCCCTACCCCCGGGGGTCATGATTTTTACAATTTAATATCTACACTACCCAAGGATGCTCCCACATAAGTTTCAGCTTTTCTGGCCCAGTGGTTCTTGAGAAGAAGATTTTTAAAGATTTGTTCTATATATTTCTATGTAAAACTTGGATTCCCTATTGTGGCCCCGCCCTATCCCCGGGGGTCATGATTTTAACAATTTAATATCTACACTACCCAAGGATGCTTCCACATAAGTTTCAGCTTTCCTGGCCCAGTGGTTCTTGAGAAGAAGATTTTTAAAGATTTATTCTATATATTTCTAGGTTAAACTTGGATTCCTTATTGTGGCCCCGCCCTACCCCCGGGGGTCATGATTTTTACAATTTAATATCTACACTACCCAAGGATGCTTCCACATAAGTTTCAGCTTTTCTGGCCCAGTGGTTCTTGAGAAGAAGATTTTTAAAGATTTGTTCTATATATTTCTATGTAAAACTTGGATTCCCTATTGTGGCCCCGCCCTACCCCCGGGGGTCATGATTTTAACAATTTAATATCTACACTACCCCAGGATGCTTCCACATAAATTTCAGCTTTTCTGGCCCAGTGGTTCTTGAGAAGAAGATTTTTTAATGACCCCACCCTATTTTCGTATTTTCTTGATTATCTCCCCTTGGAAGGGGTCTTGGCCCTTGATTTTAACAATTTAAATTCCCCTTCACCCAAGAATGCTTTGTACAAAGTTTGGTTAAAATTGGCCCAGTGGTTCTTGAGAAGAAGTTGAAAATGTGAAAAGTTTACAGACGGACGGACGGACGGACAGACAGACGGACGGACGGACGGACGGACGACGGACACCGGGTGATCAGAAAAGCTCACTTGAGCTTTCAGCTCAGGTGAGCTAAAAATAGCGACTGCGCGGAATTTATGCGCGCACGGTTCACTGTAATATGTCTTTGTATAAAACATTCAGTATAATATAATAAATATAGCATGTAGTTGAGTGTAACATTGAAAATTTTCACCCCTCGAAAACCATTGTCAACCTCGGCTGCGCCTCGGTTGACAATGGTTTTCTTGGGTTGAAAATTTTCAATGTTACACTCAACTACATGCAATATTTATATACTAGTACCCCCCCCCCCCCCCACCCCACCCCCCACCTATCCGTCCTTCTACATGTACCATCTCTAGCCGTCTAAAATATCACGTTTCCAATATAACTTGCAAAGTTTGAGACTGTGCAATAGTATAGGACAGAATATTTTTTAGGGTTGATTAATTTACGTAGGACGAGAATTTAAAAATGACACTGAACGTATTATTTTCACGGGGAAATGTACAGAAAAATTAATATACATGTATCTGTTAGAAGATCCTTGAAACTCTGACGAGTGGTGAAGAATACTCGAATTGAATCAAGGTTTTACCAGTTTATTCATGTATACAGGTACATAACCACATGCTTCCACTCTGACGGTCCATGCACGCACTACTCATGCCGGATACACACTGACACCTGACCCACACTACGAACCATAACTCTAGCACACAAACTCTTACACACAAGTGACACAACACAAATTAGATACACTACAATACCCCCTTTTCTAAGAATAAACTTTTACACTTCTCAAAATAAATAAATTACTGAAAGAAATTATTATCCAAAATATTATTAGAAAACATTTACAATTTACAGTCTCAGATCTATATAGAAAACTTTCAGTCATTAACATTCACACAGAAATATTTCACAGTTCGAAGTCCTTAAGACGTTGCGGTAGTTTCCTTATACGGGTAGACCTTCTAACGCTCGGAGTTACTGGAGCCGCGGATGGAACATCATCACTATTAGCACTAGACTCAACACTCGGTTCACTAAGATCACTCGGATTCTCCGGAATATCGGACACACTTTCCGGTTCCTGATATTTTTTCACGAATTCACTATTTCGCTTCACTAACACTCCCTCTGGTGATTTAACAACACAGCTGTTTCCGGTTTTCTGTACAAGTGTATACGGTTCCACGTGATATGGTGTATCCATTTTGTCCTTGGTCGCCTTCTTCAAGAGGACTGAATCTCCTAGCTCCAAATCACACTCCTGTGCATCACGTTTTTCATCGATATAAATCTTGTTCCTGTATTTAGAATACGCATCCTTATCGCGCACTCCCTCATCATAGTCGTTTTCTTGTAGATTTTCCACTTGCGGTAGCTTTGTTCTCAGCTTCCGACGGAACATCAACTCGGCAGGTGGTACTCCTGTCGTAGTATGAGGAGTCGTTCTGTATGCAAATAGATATTTGCGGATTTCGGTCTTCCAATTCTTAGACTCGGCTTGTGCAATCCGAATTCTTTTCATCAACGATCTGTTTTGTCGTTCTACCTCCCCATTTGCTGACGGATGTAACGGTGTAACTGCTCGATGCTTGATACAGTTATCTGTCAGGTAATCCTTGAATAACTTAGATCTGAACTGGGGTCCATTATCAGAAGTTATTTGTAATGGAAGTCCATGTCGACAAAACATTCCCTCCAGCAAATCAATGATTTTCTCACTTGTAATATCCTTGGTAACTTCAATCTCGTAGTATCTGCTGTAATAATCAACAACCACTAACACGTACTGTCCAGATGTTAATGGTCCAAGAATATCAATACCTAATTCTTGCCATGGCCCTGTTGGTAATGGAGTAGGACTAACTGGTTCCGGTTTCGGAAACGCACTGGTAATCTGACATCCGTGACACGATTTCACATACTTCTCCACTTCCTTGTCCATCCCAGGCCACCACACTTTAGTACGTAACTGCTGTTTCGTCCCAACGATTCCTAGATGACCCTGGTGAGCTAACTGTACACACTGCTTCCTCAGATTTCTTGGAATCACTATTCTGGATCCACGTAAAACCACGTATCCAATACAACAAAGTTCATCTCGGAATGGGTAATAATCAACACATGATTTCTCCCACTTTCCCTCTTTGATAAATTTTCGGATTCTGACAAGTTCTTCATCTCTCCTTGAAGCTTCTTCTACTTCTTGAGTCGACAGTGCCTGAGGGGTTGCCTCCCTTGCAATAAATTTCACATATTGCTCAGTGTCTTTTGAATTACTGTTTTCTACAGGTGTCTTATCCACCAAACGAGATAACGCATCTGCGATATTCTGATGTCCAGGTGAATAACGTACTTTGAAGTTGTAAGCCATAAGTTTTAATAGCCATCGTTCAATTCTTGCATTTGGTCTGGATTTTCTTCCATAAATCACTTCTAATGGCTTGTGATCTGTGACTAATTCAAAATCCACCCCGTAGAGATAGATATGGAACTTCTCACATGCCCATACGACTGCCAAAGCTTCTTTCTCAATTGTCGAATAATTGCGTTCGTTCGGCCGCTGACAACGTACGACTGGCATAACTGATGACCCGTGTTTCACCTTTGTTGACTTGAAGTAAAACTGCTCCTAGGCCTACATTACTAGCATCTGTCACTAACTGAGTTTTTTCTGCATCTAATCTGTAATGTCCCAAAGTTTTCACATTTGACAAACAACTCTTTAAAGTGTCAAAGCTTTTCTTCTGTTCGGCTGACCAGACAAACTTCACATTTTTCTTTGTCAATCTCCTGAGCGGTTCTGCCACAGTAGCAAGATTTGGTATGTAACGAGCACTAAAGTTTACAAGTCCGAGGAAACTTTTCACTTCGGATCCATTTGTTGGTTCTTTAGCATTGAGTAACGACTTGATCCTTTCACTAGTTGGTCCAATACCATTCTTTGATAAGACGTGTCCCATGAACGTTATCTTGTTCATCCTAAACTCACACTTGTTCAGATTTAGTGTCAGACCTTTATCTTTGAGTCTCTGTAAGGCTTTGCGAAGTCGCTCATCATGTTCTGCTTTGTCACGACCATAGATTACGATATCGTCTGATATATTCTGCACTCCTTCACAGTCATGAAACACTTGCGAAATCACTTGCTGATATTTCTCTGGAGCTGATGAAATACCAAACATCAGTCTCTTATATCTGTAGAGACCTTTGTACGTAACGAATGTAGTGATCTCCCTTGACGACTCTTCCAGCTCAATTTGATGGTATCCACTTCTAAGGTCTAACTTACTAAACACTTGGCTACCATTCACCATGTAGAGTATGTCATCCACTGTCGGAATAGGATGCCGTTCACGAATAATGGCAGCATTGGCTTGTCTCATGTCGACGCACAATCTAATGTCACCATTGGGTTTCGGTACAATTATGACTGGACTGACCCACGGTGTAGGATCATTAACTCGTTCAATGATATCCTGAGACTCAAGTTCGTCCAACTGTTCTCCTACTTTATCTCGCAAACTGTATGGAATTCTGTACATGCTTTGAGCTACTGGCTTCACATTTTTGTCAATATGTAACTTCAACTTAAAGTCTTTGAGTTTTCCAATACCTCGAAAACACTCAGAATATTCATGAATAAAGTCAGTTGGTTGAATTGTGTTTACTCCGAGTTTCAAAACTCCCAAGTTCATAGCTGTGTCTTTGCCCAGTAACGCTGGTCCTGTACCATTTAGTACAAAGAACTCCTCTTCTCTACTATTTCCATTTTCATGAATTGATGTTTGCGCTCTGAATTTACCCAATAATTTCAACGGTTCTGTAGATCCGTAAGCAAAAAGTTTTTTTTCACACTTCTCTGAGTGACACTTGATACGGTTCTTCTTAAGATATTCCCAGAGTTCTTTATCAATAATGTTAGCTGATGCACCACTATCAATGACAAATTCTACAGGATTTCCTCCTAGACTGACTTTTACTTTGTCTGATGATGTATGTCCTGTTTTCAAACTAAACACGTATACTTCTGAGTCGGAATCCACTTCAGAATAATCCACTTTGTTAATTTTCCCACCTTTGGTTGGTTTGCCTTTTCCTGGTTTCTTTGTTAAACAACATTTAATAAAATGTCCAACTTTTCCGCACTTCCGACATGTCCGACATTCCTTATTCCGAGCAGGACACGATACGTCCTTTGCAAAATGCCCCTCTCGTCCACAACGAAAACACTTCTTGTCCTGAAATCTGTGTTTCTGTTTGTCAGTTTTTTCACGATGTCCCTGAATTCTGTTTACTGACGCCACAATTTCAGTGTCCATATGCCTAGCCTGTGTTTCAGTCATCTCAAATGTAGCTGCTATAGTCCTCAATTGCTCTAAAGTCAAGTCTTTTCCTTTCTCTAACAACTTGGCTCTTATCTTGTGAGACCTGCATTTTTCAATCACTTGATCCCGAATTTGCTCATCCTGATTTGTGAAGTCACAATACACAGCCTGTTGTCGTAATTTTGTAATAAACTGTTCTACTGTTTCACTCTCGGTTTGCAGAATTTTCCTAAAAACATATCGTTCATACGGAACGTTAACTTTATTCTCAAAATGTTTATCTAACGTTTTCACAGCTAACGTATACACATTGTCATTGTCACCTGCTTGTTCAACATTCAATGTATAAAAAATGTCTTGAACTTCGGGTCCAGCACAGTGCAAAAGTAATGCTTTTTTTTGTTCAGCGTCACTCACCCCTTTTCCAACAGCGAAAAGCTCAAAACTTCGGTGCCACCTTTTCCATGCTTGATTTAATTGTGACGGTTCAGCATTTGGATCAAATTTCCCAACTCCGTTGAGTTCTATTAGTGTAGCCATCTTGTAGTTTTCGTTATCCTCGTCGCCAGTGAAGAATACTCGAATTGAATCAAGGTTTTACCAGTTTATTCATGTATACAGGTACATAACCACATGCTTCCACTCTGACGGTCCATGCACGCACTACTCATGCCGGATACACACTGACACCTGACCCACACTACGAACCATAACTCTAGCACACAAACTCTTACACACAAGTGACACAACACAAATTAGATACACTACAAGTGTAGCAAAGAACCAATAAGGGCGCTTCTTACAGTAAGAAGGTGGGGCTTAATATCAGTCAATCAGGCGATATGAGAATCTATAGGTCACCAAACAGACTTCGTGTCGAGATCGTCATGCCCTATGGAAAGTCCAAAGTGACGGACACCCCATCACTATATCATGCTGTATATACTCCCGCTTTTTAAGCAGCCGTATTAAAAAAAAATAAGGTAAACATGCAATTACGATAACCGTATAACCGAAGTACATATGTAAGTTTAGTTGTACTGATAATTATCACATGTGGTCCTCCGTAGGAAGGCTACGTTATTGTTCATAAACTTATTCTAATTTCCATGATTTGCAGCAGTAGAGGCAATATTTTGAAGCAAATTTATTGAGATGAGACAATAAATATTTATCGAATGGGTTAACATACTCCCGGAATTTCCTTTTTCAGAAGTTAACACGATTACTGTACTGTCCGTGTTCTAGACACTTATAACAGAAAACACGTCTGCTCGGTTTAACGCTTTAATTCTAAACTACCTAACTAAATGATTACACAAATCGGCGTGGCTGAAACTGTCAACATTAATTACTGAACTTGTATTTAACATATAACATTCTGCTGGTATAGCAAATTCCTAAACGTGGGAAAACATTCAATCTGAATGACTATTTTAAGATATGAACATTACATCCCTCTTCATCTTAGACAGAAAAACAAATCTTTACATAATTTCTGAAATGACAGCCTGTAATGCCAATAACTAATCTTTATACAAATACAGAATAAAGTTACAGTCAAATAACAAAAAGTCAATCCTTTTCTTTTCTCAGGTGGTCACATAGTCTTTTAGATAGGCGGGTGGTTTACGTTCCCGGGTTGGTCTTCCGGTATCTGTGACAGAACGGTCTTTATCCAATTCGTCTCCTGTTTCGTCTGCGCTAATTTCGGGGTCATGCGTTTCCGTTTCGTTTTCGTCGCTCGATATAAATTTCTTTATAGCCGTACAGTTTCGCTTAATCAACGATCCATTTTCATCCTCGAGAGTCGCTGCATTTCTGCATTTCTCCCTCACGATGAACTTCTCAGGAGCGAACTCGGTTGACAACTTATCGCGCTTTGGCTGACGTTGTACAACAGTGTCACCGATCTCAATTTCACACGGTATGGCGCGGCGCTTCTCATCCGCTCTTATTTTAAAATCCTCTTTCCGTCTTGCGTCCGTTTCTCTTATTTCTTTGTGATCGATTCTTGCACTGATCTCTGGTAACTTGGTATGAATTTTCCGATTATATAATAACTCTGCAGGGCTTTTTCCGGTTGTAGAATGTGGGGTCGCACGGTACGCAAGTAAAAACTTGGGTAGTTCTTGTCTCCAATCCTTGCCTTCTGCGTTTGCAGCTTTAATGGCTTTGAGTAGTGTTCGGTTTTGCCTTTCTACCTCCCCATTTCCTTGTGGCCAGTATGGTGTAGTCCGAATGTGTTTGATACCATTTGAATTCAGGTATCTCTAAAACTCCTCTGACACAAACTGTGGTCCGTTATCGCTTCGTATACCGTAAGGTAAGCCGTGCCTCGCGAACATACTCTCAAGTTGAAGAATGATCTTCTCGCTGGTTATCGTTTTCATAATGGCTACCTCCTGAAATCGGGAAAAATAGTCTATAACGACTAGTAGATATTCCCCAGAAGGAAACGGTCCCATAAGATCTATAGCCAGATCCTGCCATGGCCCATCGGGTAATATCGTTGTTCGAACTGGTTCGGGCCTATTGTTGTTCGACAAAAGTTGGCATTGTTGACATGTTCTAACAAATCGCTCGGCTTCTGTATCTATGCCTGGCCACCATACTTTTTCTCTTAATCTTTGTTTCGTGCGGACAATACCCTGGTGTCCTTCGTGGGCCAACTGTATTGTTTGTTTCCTTAGGCATTTAGGCAGTAAGATGCGCGATCCACGTAATACTATTCCGTCGACGACTGAAAGTTCCGCTTCCACAGTACGAATTTTAGGATCCAGACGCCCGTGTCCTGTTTTGATCCTCCTCATAATCTCGACGAGTTCTCGGTCCTCCGACGTTTTCTGACGAACTTCTTGAATAGTGAGTGCTTTCGGTACAGCATTATCTGCAATGAAATGCGCATACTCGTCTGCAATGTGGCGTATTCGGCAAGCCTGATTCTGACTCAATCTGGATAGAGCATCAGCAGCATTCTTTGGCCCAGGTATATAGACAATCTTATACTTATACGGTTGAAGTCGCAATATCCATCGCTCGATTCTAGCTGGTGGTTTCGACTTTGGAGAAAAAATGTAGGTCAACGGCTTGTGATCCGTCCAGATTTCGAATTCTAGCCCGTATATATACATGTGAAACTTTTCACAACCAAACACGACACCTAGAGCCTCGCGCTCAGTCTGCGAGTACCGTTGCTCAACGTCGGTTAGAGTTCGACTTGAATATGCAATTGGTTTGAACAATCCGTCTGGTTGTTTCTGTGCTAGAATGGCCCCAAGTCCAACGGGACTTGCATCCACGATTATTCTTGTCTCGGCTTTTGAATTATAATATGCTAGAGCTTCGGCACTCACGAGCGCTCTTTTCAGCATGTCGAACGCATCCTGGTGTCTTTTCGTCCAACTCCAGTGCGTGTTCTTCCTTGTAAGTTCTCGTAAAGGGGCAGCAATTGTTGAGAAATTTGGTATAAAACGGCCGCAGTAATTTGCCAGCCCCAGGAAGCTCCTTATTTCGGAACTGTTGCTCGGCGTCCTGGTCTCCGATACTGCTTTGATCTTTTCCTGGTCAGGTTTAACCCCCTCTGATGAAATCACATGTCCGAGGAAAACAATTTTAGATAGACCGAATTCGCATTTTTCTCTGTTAAGGGTAAGCCCTTTCTCAGCTAATCTGTCAAGCACTTTCGTAAGTTTCTTGTTATGATCCGCCTGGTCCGTCCCGTAAACTATGATGTCATCAGACAAATTCCTCACTCCTTTGATACCTTGAATAACTTGTCCAATTACTCTTTGGTAGATCTCAGATGCTGAGGAAATTCCGAACATGAGGCGCTTATAGCGATAAAGGCCCTCGTGTGTCACAAATGTGGTTATCTCTCTTGATTCCTCGTCTAGCTCTATTTGGTGGTATCCCCAACGTAAATCAAGTTTTGAGAACACTGTGCTGCCGTTCATATCTTCAAGCATTTCATCCACAGTCGGAATCGGGTATCGCTCACGTTGAACGGCAGTGTTGACCCGTCTCATATCAACACAGATTCGAATTTCCCCGTTTTTCTTAGGCACAACGACAAGTGGCGACACCCAAGCCGTTGGGCTGTTTACCTTCTCAATTATGTCCATCTTCTCCAGCTCCTCGAGCTTTTTGTTCACGCTTTTCCTCACATTAAATGGTAAGCGTCGTAACGGTTGTGCTACAGGGGTCACGGTCTTGTCGATATGAATTTTCAGTTGAAAATTTTCCAGTTTCCCTACTCCATTGAAAACAGAATTTCTTGAGGCAACAATCCTATCAAGTTCATTTCTAACGGAGCATAGGTTCGGCTCATCGGTCCCTATGCGTAAAACTCCTAGCTCTACCGCTGTGTCTTTTCCTAGTAAGGAAATATAATCGCCTTCAACGACAGCAAACTCTGCATATGTTTCACGCAGTCCATGCTTGGTGACTGCCCGAAATGTTCCTAGTATTTGTAATGGTTCCTTTGATCCGTAAGAAAACAATCTTTTTGTGCTTCTCGATAGGGACATTGTTTCATCGTTAGCGCTAATGGCGCTCCATACATTGTGGTTCACGATATTGCAGCTTGCGCCAGAGTCGATTAGCATCTGTATCTTAGCTCCGCCCACGCTAACGTCTATCATGCCATTTGTATCTTTTTTGTAGACAGCAAATGCGAACTCGTCATCTGAGGACTCGCTCTGCACTAAATGAACATGCTTTGTACTGCGGTCCTTACCTGGTCTAGTGCGCGGGGTATCCGATTTGGTCTTACACACTTTTGCGAAATGACCCTTCTTTCCGCACTTATTACATGTTTTGTCCTTAGTAATTGTACAGTTCCTTGCAATGTGGCCCTTCCGTCCGCACCGAAAACACGTGGCATCTTTCTGCGAACTTTTCTCAGACACGTATTGTTTCCTGTGACTTACCGACGGCCTAACAGTGTTTACATCGGAGCTTGAAAATGTTTCACTGCCCTTGAATCTGTCTGCTTGCTCGTTTACAATTTCGCCAGCTCGGGCTATATCCATTGCACTTTTTAAAGTTAATTCCTTTTCCTTTAGGAGTCTTTTTCTTAATTTTGACGATCTACACTTTTCAACAATTTGATCTCGAATGTTGTCGTCTGGCTTCTCAAATTCACAGGTTACGGCCAGTTTGCGCAGCCTAGTCACAAAACTGTCAATTTTTTCTGTTTCACCTTGTGCCGCATTCCTGAACAAATGGCGCTCAAATGCTATGTTCCGTTTTGGTTGGAAGTACTCATCTAATTTCTTTTTGGCACCGTCCAAATCATCTCCCGACTCCCCAAGGGTATCAAATATTTCTTGAACTTCACTTCCCGCGGAATGTAGAAATAAAGCCCTTTTTTGCGCTTTATCCGTAATGCCGGATGCTGTTAGGTAGAATTCAAAGGTTTTCTTCCACCTGTCCCACCTTTGTGAGACACTTGTTTGGTCACCGTTAACATCAAATGGATTAATTGCAGGTAACTGCAATGCCTTTGCCATTGTTGTTATCCTCGTCGCCAATGTACTGTCCGTGTTCTAGACACTTATAACAGAAAACACGTCTGCTCGGTTTAACGCTTTAATTCTAAACTACCTAACTAAATGATTACACAAATCGGCGTGGCTGAAACTGTCAACATTAATTACTGAACTTGTATTTAACATATAACATTCTGCTGGTATAGCAAATTCCTAAACGTGGGAAAACATTCAATCTGAATGACTATTTTAAGATATGAACATTACAATTACAGTTTGAATCAGTGAACAAATCTCGGTTTTCCGAGATGTATTTTCTCCCGCTACAGAGGGATAATCGCGCTTTAGCGAGATGATCTCGCTAAAGGGGATGTGTTCCCAACCTGTTACAGTTTTAGGAGCAGGTCCAGTCCCAAGTAACTATAAGCCCTAGCCGGACCAAACTTGCATGGATGATGCATCTAGAGATGGATACTACAGACTTGCTTTGAATGCTGGATCTGACCTACATATTCCAGATCAGTGTACATATTGAAATGGAATTTAGTATACAAATTAGTCAGAGGAATATCTAGGTCAAGTTATATTTTTGGTATGATCACACCATTTTTGACAGAGTATGCCCTTTTGGACTTGAAAAAATTCCAATTTGTGGGGGAGGGGGGCATAATTGTTTTAAGGAATTGCTGTCTAGTTACTAGTAGTATAGTATGCCAGGGCATCAACACTAGTGGGAAACATGGGATAATTTGCATGACGGGCGAAGCCCGTATATTATCCCATGTTTCTCACTAGTTTTGATGTACCTGGCATACTATACTAACTAGACAGTGATTCCTTATATTTCCATTTCATTGTGAAATAAAATTGTAGAAAAATGTAGGCATAGGTATAAATTATAGAAGGACACCCATGCCAATTTCAACAGTTCTCTCCGCCCAAACACATAGGCAGCCGCACGAGATTTACATGCATATTTGGCCTCCTTGACGTCATACACAGAGATAAATGCGCACGAGATTTTCATGCATATTAGGCCTCCTTAGCTCCTGACCTATCGACCTGCCTAATTTACATCCCGTTAGAATTGTCAAGAAATCAACTCTGCATACTTTCAAAGAGATATCACAGAGAACAAAATTAGAAATGGAGATATTTACAAACATCTCTTGTATACCGGTATCTTCGATTAATATTTTGAGGACAGTATCTACAAACAATTTACTGAGTATGGCTTCCGTAATTTTAACAAAAATTAAGTTTTTTCTTTGTATAGTGTCCACAGACGAATTGGGTTTGACTTTTGATGCAATAAATACAATTATTTTTAGCACAATCAAATACATGTACCATGTATTTGTACAGTTATGCAACACATTTACTCTACTGGAAGATACATCAAATTTAAATTCATTTTTACCTCAGATGAGCTGAAAGCTCCCGTTGTCCACCTGTAAACTTTTCATATTCTCGACTTTTTCGGAGTTTTCTCAAGAATTATCCAGTTTGCAAATTTCAATCAAAATACCAAAAAGGATAGATGAATGGGATTCAATTCTGTTCAAAGCAATTCAACTAACCAATCCGATCCTACACTGCTCATGCAAGACGTTCTCCTCAACCAGCCGATTAAAAAATAACGCTGAATGTAAATCTCGGGTTTGCTTAATATTAGAGTAGCAGTGGCGGATTTAAGGGGGGCGCCCCCCCCTAAAATTGTCAAAATTTACGTAAATCACAGTTTCGTCTAGAAAATATAAATATGTATACTTGGTAGACCTCTTTTTTACCCTACAAAATCTCTAGAATCCAGGAGCTTTCGGGGGATTTCTAGTCGTTTCGGCCTGTTTCAAGTTCGGCCCTAAGTATTTTCGGTGCCTAGAAGTTTCGGCCTAAAGTTGTTTCGGTCCTAGTCGTTTCGGCCTCACTTAGTTAGTAACTTAGTAATACATTCTCTAACGTGTATTTTTCCTATCTGAATTTATCAGATGCCATCAAAATATTTGAATGTATTGTGCAGTTTGTATATTTCATCATATTCCTCTGATTTTTTTTTAATTTAATATTTAGCCATCAATAAATTTCATATGTAAATTTTATTTAAATAAAAAACAAAGAGACTGAATCAAATACCAGTATCTGTTATAAACATGAGTGAGAGAGCATATCTATTTATCTTTAAAGTCTTTTTTTTTTTAATAGACACCTCTTTCTTTGGTATCCATTAGACAGTAAGATTTCAATCTAAGACGACCAATTTCAGTTATACGAAGTTCTGAAGTTCCGATTTAAAAAAAAAATAAATGAATAAAATTGATTTAGATTATAAATATTTGAATTCTTAAGCTCTTTAATTCTGATTTCTTCAATATCTATTTTGGAGAAATATTTTTCCAATAATTGAGAAGTACTTACAGGTTGCAGATACCGAATTTCTAAAAATAATAATAAACTTAATTGATGTTCAAAATTCTGCCTTTCTGGTGGCATTAATCTATACTACATTTTATCACTTTCAACACATTATTGTGAAACTGAGAAAAATATATAATATCTCAATGCAATAAATTTCACACCAGCAGGCTCTGTATGAATCTTCACGATGTCATATAATTAGGTTGTAAAATTAAATGATCATGGGGTGCAACCCATGTAATAAATGACCTCTAATGACTATATTCATTACAATTGAGTTAGAAAATTGCAATTAGTTAAAAAAAATTCCATCTGGCATCTAAATGATGCAGGGTTAATGAAAATATTACATATTAATGTATGATTAATCGAAAATTTTGTAATTGTAATTTACCTCGATGGCATACAATCGTAATACATGTATCTTATTCTGTTGTCAGCTTGCGTAACATTTGATTTTAATCAATTATTTAAGTTCATTTAAAAAAATAATCAATCATGATTTTAACAGAATTATCACTGTGGAGCAATATTTTTTAAAAAATATTTGTGACAATTTTTGTACTCGCAGAAAATTTATCATAAAAGTAAGTAGCTGCAGATCTGTAGCTCTCCGAAAAAAAATATATTGATAGACCGGAGGTCAATAATTTTTTTTTTCTCGAAGAGCTACAGATCTGCAGCTAAAAAGTAAGATAACACACAAAAGGAAAAAAAACTAATAAAATAAATACACATGATAATGGGTATATGTTTATATATTTTTATTTTTTAATACAAAACAACTTCCCTCCTACCCCCCCCCCCCCCACCAAATCATTTTTGGAGGTGTGTACCGTTGAAAAACCGTCCTTACTAACATTATTCATACTAAATTACATGTAAGGCACAACTGTATATTGAACCAAGACTTATTGAAACGTAATATTATCGATAATCCTTGTTACTATTGTGGTAAACAAGATGATGCCTATCATTTTTTCTTTGTGTAAAAAAATATTGATTCTCGAAGTATAATCTTTTTGAACATCTTTTTCGACTTGATTTAGACATCACAGATGTACACTTAATTCTCTGGGGCCACGAAAACTTTTCATTTGAATTAAACATTGACATTTTGCCGCTGTTCATAAATTCATAAGTGACACATGTGAATTAGCTAGATATATTATTTAATTTTTTGTATACGTTTTTGATATTATTTTGCGTGAAATTTATTATGTGTTTTTAAGGAGAACTAGTAAGTTGTTAGAACTTGTTTCTTATCCTTTTGATTACCAATAAAATATGTTCAAAACAAAACTGTCATTGCTGATTTTCTTCTGGTGCTGTTTAGGAACAAGTGATACATTGAAATCGTGTGGAATCCTTCATATAAGCCCCCTCATTTTCTAACACCTTAAGTTATATATTGTTTACTGGGGAAAGTGACATACTGTCACCGCAATGTGAGTTTGCTGGAATTTGTCTTTACCTTCATTAATCTGACACTTCACCCTATAAAACAATTTTAAAACAAATAAATAATTCGTTGCTAAAATTGTCAAAAAAGAACTACTTATTATTTATGGATACCGCTAACAGTGAATACAGACCAGATTTAACCTGTTTACCGGTATATATAAGGTATTTTTTATTTATCAATTTTTTGCAAACAAATACGAGATGCCGAAACGTTGATTGTCGAATAATTTTTTCATTTTCTTAATTCTTAATTATTATTTATTCTGGTTTATTTAATCATGCCTAACAGCAAAAGTAAAATAATTAAGTTATATATAACGTTAACACATACACCGTAATGCATGGAAGTTTTCTACCACTTTGAACAATCAATAGCATTTCTTTATCAAATTCAATTTCAAAGACACAGCAACAGTACAATAATTTCAATAAAGATTTATTTCACACCATTTCTATATCATTTTTGTCGCTTTCTTCAACTTAGGCCGAAACGACTAGGTATCTAATGCCGAAATTGCTAGAGTTCGAAAAAACTCGAGGCCGAACAAACTGCGGGCCGAACTGAAGAAAGGCCGAAACAACATGCATCGTTTCGGGGGCCACCACCAGGGCTTTGCCCTGGACCCACTGGGGGCCTCAAGGCGGCACCCAGACCCCTTGCCTAAATTGGCACCCCCTCTAACTTCAATTCCTGGATCCGCGCCTGAGTGGATACACCCCCCCCCCAAAAAAAAGAAACTATCGGAAATGCATGGAGTACGTTGTACTTATTCAAGTAAGAGAGATATTTAAATAACGGGTGTTGCTAAAACGCGGAACGGAAAACGGAACGGAAAGCGGAACGGAACGGAAAACGGAATATACATTTTTTGGATTAAATCACTTAAAATACACAAATTTTATCATAATCGATATATCTTGTACACATTCAATCCCCCACTATGAAATACAAGTTGATTTTGTCATGCTCAGTCTTTTATTTACAAAAGTCGCTAACATAGCAGTCACATATAGAATCGAATTTGAAAAGGGGGGAACGAACTTGAAAAGTATTTGACAAGCAAAAAACACAAAAAGAAGACAATTGTTTGATTCGGGAGGGGATATAAACACAAAAAGAAAACAATTGTTTGATTCGGTAGGGGGGATAAGTTCCAATTCCCAACATCTGTCAATACTATTTTTTTTTACACTTACTTACTACATTTATTATATTCACAAAAAGGGTGAGAATATGAACTTGAACGAACATTTCCGTAGTCAAAAGGTTATAACTTTGGGGGGGGGGGGGGGGGCAAATACGAGGGTTGTTCGAAAATTATTGAGACATTGTGTATATTTTGCTTTCTAATAAACGTCTTTTAGTGAAAATTGGCATATACGTTTGACATACACGAAAAATTAATAAGAGCAAGAAATATTTTAAAAATATTAAATATTTTCTCTACAATTGTATATAAATGTGTCAATAGTAGGGGTACCCGGAGCAGTCGCGGAATCAGACATTTGAAATATGAAACCCCAAAATTCTAACCCTTCGTGGATCAATAATGAGAGCTAAAATAATTTAGTTTAAGTGTATAATTTTTCAGCTTTGGTTCAAATTCATGTTGTGCAACTTTGATAGAATTTTGATCAGAAATATGGAGATCATAAAAAAGCGCGGTAGAGAAATCTGCTAACAACGAAAAAAATGGATTTTGACGTCAAGGGCGGAGCAGCCAGCATACCTAAAATTTTGTGTAGCGCAATGTAGAACTCTTTTTAAGACTGAACGACCTGCTAAAACTATAACAACGAGAAAAAAAAATGATGTGTTAGGGTTTGTTATTTCCTTGGTATACATTTTTTAGCAATTTAATAAACAAGAGTAAAATCAAAAGATCTGGACGACCATGAGTTATTACATACAGTATTGATATCGTTACGGTATTTAACCCGCGTTGCAAATAGCGCGCATGATTCTAAGTGGTTCTTTCCGATAAATGAAATTTTTTGACTGGGGTAGCAACAGCATACATTTTTAAAGAATAGTTTAAGAAAAGAGACTTTGATTTCTGTAATGTTATTTATGTAATAACAAAGAAGGAAAAGTATTAAACGCTTCCCGATCGTTTCACATGCGAAACAATCTACTGCTAACGTAACGTTAACAGGTTAAATGACGTAGCGAGGCTGCTCCGGGTCGATAGACATATGCATATTTATTACTTCACAGAACCTTATATAGTTATCGTAGGAATTTGAAAATTTTCTTTAGTGTTTTAGACGTTCTTTATAAGATATTGATGAATTTTCATGAAATTATCTCCGTCCTTTAAGGAGTAAATGTAATTGTCTCAATAATTTCCGAACAGCCCTCGTATTTGATATTTAAATGAACCATGGAAAGAGAAAAAAAATGTTTTAAAAAATTATTAAGATTACGTTAAGGGCAAACCTTTACGGCAAGCTCGAATAAACATCTCTTATACACACTGGTTGTTAAAATTTTATTCAAAAATAGAGTCCTTTTGTGGATAGACAAAGTTGTGGTAGATATAATGCAGACTGCAGAATCTTTGCATTCATTGCAGTTAAATTTTGTTTATTTGCGGCACGTATGTGTGCATGTTGGGGGGGGGGGGGCGTATATGAATGACCCCGTAAAAATGTGTTTGTATTCCCACTCATCGGAAATGTCTTAGAAAATGTAATAGATCTGTCCCCCTTTTTGTGTCCAAAATGTACATAAGGTTTAATAAATCAAATTTTAATGTGGCTGTGGGCCCCTACACAGACCCGAAACTGCCACCCCCTTTCATGACTCGCGAATTCGACACTGCGTGCATAATCTGAATAGCATAACTAGTTATTTTTGTCTTTTCACATATTGAAATTGGAAACAAATTGAAAGAGGGGGTAGGGGTAAGAAAAAAATTCCTACATACAACAAATTTGACAAGCAAATAAAAGGGGAATATGTCCTTTGCCCAAACACAAAAATCCTATTTCGTGTGTGTGTGTGTGGGGGGGGGGGGGGGGTTCTTTCTGTAGCATTTTTTCCACGGAGGGTGTGTATGACTCATGAATATATAATAGTTTACAATTAATTTTTATTAGAAATGACTTTTACAACAAGAATGTTGCTCTTTTATCTGATTTATATTGAATTTATGTTATTTCTTTGACAAATAATTTTCCGTTTTCCGTTCCGTTCCGCTTTCCGTTCCGTTTTCCGTTCCGCGTTTTAGCAACACCCTTTAAATAATTAGGTGAAGGTCACCAAGGGACGCCATAGAAGGAATGTTTCAGATGATGGATAACAAAGAACCTCAACCTGATTTCAGACTCCTAGAGAGATGATAACGCGAGGTAAAACATGCAGTTACTCTATAGATTTGATTTTTTATTTGAAGAAAGGTATTTTATAAATAATATTCCAAAAATGCTACTTTCGTTTTAATTTTTGATGAGTGATTTTCCATATAGGCCTAGAACGTGTAGATAAATGTTAGAATTTGTACAAGCTTAAATCACAGGCATTTGTTTCGTATACCCCCACCTTGTTAAAAATAAGTAGGGAGTGCCCTGTATACGAAACAAAAGCCTGTGACTGAAATATTTAAATCATTCCTCTCTAAATATCGAATTAATGCGGATACATCAATATATACTCAATAAGAAATTGATTTTCTTTTCCAGATGGCATTTATATTTTAATGGTATAAGATAAAAATATAAACATTGTGTCCGAACCTACAAAGTTGAAATTATTAAGGTCTTCCGTCTTCAGCGGAAGACCTTACTGTTATTCTTAGGTTTCTTTTCCACTATTTTTATTATTATTATTAAGGTCTTCCGTTTATTGTTTTCGTTCGGTTTCTTTTTCCCTATTATTAGCTCACCTGAGCCGAAGGCTCAAGTGAGCTTTTCTGATCAAAATTTGTCCGTCGTCTGTCGTTGTGGTTGTCATCGTTGTCGTCTTAAACATTTCACATTTTCATCTTCTTCTCAAGAACCACTGGGCCGATTTCAACCAAACTTGGCAAAAAGTATCCTTGGGTGAAGGGGATTCAAGTTTGTTCAAATGAAGGGCCACGCCCTTTTCCAAGGGGAGATAATCATAAATTTGTTAAAAATTAATGGCATTTTTAAAAAATCTTCTTCTCCAGAACCAATGGGCCAGGAAAGATGAAACTCATGTGGAATCATCCTCAGGTAGTGTAGATTCAAATTTGTTCAAATCATGACCCCCTGGGCAAGGGTGGGGCCAAAATGGCCGACCCTTGTTTTACATAGGAATATATAGGAAAAATCTTTAAAAATCTTCTTCTCCAGAACCACTGGGCCAGGAAAGATGAAACTCATGTGGAATCATCCTCAGGTAGTGTAGATTCAAGTTTGTTCCCATCATGTGGGGCAAGGGTGGGTCCAAAATGGCCATCCCAAGTTTTACATAGGAATATATAGGGAAACCTTTTAAAATCTTCTTTTCAAGTTCTTCAAAGCTATGATTAGTGATACATGTTTTTATATGGAATCATCCTCAGGTAGTGTAGATTCTAATTTGTTCAAATGATGAACGCCTGGAGGGGGGGGAATAAATTCATGCCCGATGTGCTCAGGTGAGCGCTGTGGCCCCTGGGCCTCTTGTTTGTACTTACTATTGTACTTTATAACTTGAAAACTATAAGTCGTAGAAGCATAAGGTCAATTGCATTGTGACCCTTGACCTTTGACCTTGAATATTTTTTCAAGGTCAAAGGTCAAGATCATTCCAATTTTTTTTAATTTTCATTTTCTTCTATGCTTTCAGACAATTTTTGTTTCTTTTTTATGGAATATAATTTTAAGGAGTTAGATATAAAACAAATTTGAAATTTAAAGAAGGTGGAAAGACCTCTTATTGTTCTCTGAACAATAAGTCTCCTAGTTATTAAGGTCTTCCGTCTTCAGCGGAAGACCTTACTGTTATTCTTAGGTTCCTTTTCCACTATTTTTATTATTAAGGTCTTCTAACTTCCTTCGGAAGACCTTACTGTTATTCGTCTGTTTTTTAATTATTATTCTTCTTTTTTCATAGTTAGGGTTATATCTAAGCTGTGCGTAGACGGATTTGAAAGATTTTTACAGGGATGATGCATCTTGAGAATATCTCTAGACGTGTTTTTCGTTTTTTTCAAAATTCACTGTCTTTTGCGATTTTTGGGGATTTTTGTATTTTTAAAAAGGCATTTTGTCCAGCAGTTTTCTCGAGAACGGCTCAAGATATGAAAGTGAAACTCACTGAGATGATAGAACATCGAACTCCGTTATGGGCAACTACCTTTATTTTTCGTCGTCGGTACTTCCGGTCGCAAACGGAAGTGAATTCAAAAACCCTTATTTCTCAACTTTTTTGTTTTTCAATATTTTTCTTTAGGATTTACAGGATTTATAGAGTGTCATTTGAGAATTCTAATTATATGTTTAGTATCTTGATGCGTGTATATATTGAAAAGATATGACCGAACCAAACTTTGTCCCACTGTCGGGGTTCGAATCCCGCTGTGGGCGTTTCAATTTTTTTTTCTTTGTTTATTTCTTTTTTCAGTTGCAAATGACTTTTATCTCTTTTATAAAACGTATGGAATATTTTGCCGATTTTTAAATGCTATTTTTGAGATATTTTGAGGAATACCTGTAACTATTGTGATGTATGCGGAGAGACTGCTGTGAATAAATGTAAATAATAAAATACATTCTGAAATCTATTTCATGGGATGTCGCATCATAGAACAGTCGGAAGACCGCTTGTTGCTTTAGCAACAAGAACGCATCTAGTTATTATTGTTTTTTTTCTTACTGATTTTGTGTACGCGAGTTCTCGAAAACGGCTCGCTCGATTTTTATGACACTTTCAGGACTGATAGAGCATGAAAAAATCTAGATATATATATTTTTTTATTTTGATGACGTTACTTCCGGTTTTGAGATTTCCGCGTTTTAGTGATTTTCAGAGGGTCACTTTGTCCGGCAGTTTTCTGAAAAACCAATCAACACAAAAGCATGAAATTTTCAGTGATGCTAGAGCAACCTTTGGAAAAGTGAATTTCGTATACCACAACCACCGGAAGTACGAAGTGCCGACGCTCGCTATGGTCCGAAAATAGTCCTATCAGGAATTTCAAGATTTTTAACACCTTTTCTACGATAACTTTTTACCTAGAAATATTTTGTTAAAACATGTAGAACAAAAAAAGTATAGAATTCCAAGATCTTTCAAATGATACCTCGAAAAAAGGGCTGGACCCTTAAATTAGGGGCCGAGAGGGGCCGAATGTTTTTCCTTTATATCTCAAAAAGTATTTAGTATTTGTAATACGTCAAAGAAGCAAAGTTGTTCAAAATGTCAAGCTTAATCTATTGAAGTCGTCAAAATACGTCCGGCATCGTCACTTCCGGCCAAACCGGAAGTGGTCGGAAAACACGTTTTTTCGCTGTTCTTGACAAGTTTTTGGGTTACATATGTCTCTGGGAGCATATAAAGTAATTTTTCCGTGTGTCGTCGTCACTTCCGGTCAAACCGGAAGTAGCAAAAAATGGCTTATTTTAAAGGTTTTGATGCTAAATTGAAATTATAAAGTCACTGGAGACTAGCTCATTGCTTTCTTTTCTTTTCTTTGGTCAAAACTGGACGGAAGACCTACTCGTTGCATTGCAACGAGCTTTGCTCTAGTTATTATTGTTTTTAGCTCACCTGAGCTGAAGGCTCAAGTTAGCTTTTCTGATCACATTTTGTCCGGCATCCGTCTGTCTAGCTGTCCGTCTGTCTGTCTGTCTGTAAATTTTTCACATTTTCGACTTCTTCTCAAGAACCCCTGGGCCAATTTCAACCAAACTTGCCACAAAGCATCCTTGGGTGAAGGGGATTCAAGTTTGTTCAAATGAATGGCCACGCCCTCATTCAAGTGGAGATAATTGGGAATTAATGAAAATTTGGTGGTATGCTTTAAAAATCTACTTCTTAAGAATCACTGTGCCAGGAAAGATGAAACTTATGGGGAAACATCCTCAGGTAGTGTAGATTCAAGTTTGTTCAAATCATGACCCCCGGGGCTAGGGCGTCGCCAAAATGGCCGACCCAAGTTTTACATAAGAATATATAGGAAAATTCTTTAAAAATCTTCTTCTCATGAACAGTCAAGCTATAATTGATCATATTTATATTCAGCATTCTCAGGTAGTGTAGATTCAAATTTGTTTAAATCCTGACCCCTGGGGGTAGGGGGGGCAAAATGGCCGACCAAAGTTTTACATAGAAATATATAGGAAAATCTTCTTCTCAAGAATAGCCAAGCCATGATTGATCATATTTATAGGGAAGCATCCTCAGGTAGTGTAAATTCAAGTTTGTTCAAATCATGATTGCGGGCGGTAGGACGGGGCCACAATGGACGACCAAAGGTGCTCAGGTGAGCGATGTGGCCCATGGGCCTCTTGTTTTTCTTACCGATTTTGTACACGCAAGTTCTCAAAAACGGCTCCCTTGATTTTCATGAAACTTTCAGGACTGATAGAGCATGAAAAAATCTAGACATATATTTTTTTGTTTTGATGAGGTCACTTCCGGTTTTGAGATTTCCGCGTTTTAGTGATTTTCAGAGGGTCACTTTGTCCGGCAGTTTTCAGAAAAACCACCCAACAGAGAAGCATGAAATTTTCAGTGATGCTAGAGCAACCTTTGGAGAAGTGAATTTCGTATATCACAACCACCGGAAGTACGAAATGCCGACGCTCGCTATGGCCCGAAAATAGTCCAACCAAGAATTTCAAAATTTTAACACCTTTCCTACGATAACTTTTTCCCTAGAAATATTTTGTTAAAACATGTAGAGCAAAAAAAGTATAGAATTCCAAGATCTTTCAATTGGTACCTCGAAAAAAGGACTGCCCCCCTAAATTAGGGGCCGAGAGGGGCCGAATGTTTTTCCTTTATATCTCAAAAAGTATTTAGAATTTGTAATACGTCAAAGAAGCAAAGTTGTTCAAAATGTCCAGCTAAATCTACTTGAGTCGTCAAAATACGTCCGGCGTCGTCACTTCCGGCCAAACCGGAAGTGGTCGGAAAAACGCGTTTTTTGCCGTTCTTGACAAGTTTTTGGGTTACATATGTCTCTGGGAGCATAAAAACGAGTTTTTTCGTCCGTCGTTGTCACTTTCGGTCAAACCGGAAGTAGCAAAAAAATGGCTTTTTCTGAAGGTTTTGATGCAAAATTGAAATTATAAAGTCACTGGAGACTACTTAGCTCATTGCTTTCTTTTGTTCCGTCACTTCTGGTCAAAACCGGACGGAAGACCTACTCGTTGCTTTGCAACGAGCTTTGCTCTAGTTTATTATTCTTTTTCATTCGATGCATCTTTTCTATAGTCAATGGTTCCTGATACGCATACTCAGGGGAGTAGAGGATCAAAACCCATTGGCTAGCGAAGATGCATTCGAAGTAGTCCAAAGATTTTCAAACAGTAACTGCTCAAAATATGTTGTTGTAGGGAAAAAGTAGCATTATAAAGATTTTTTTAAGGAAAAGCCCTTATCTTGGAAAATTATTAGTACCTGAATTATGGCGCGTAACAGTTTCCAAAGGGGTTAAAAAATATATAAGCACCTAACGTAATACTCAGAGCCTAATGTACTAACAGGTCCCCTTAATATGGAGCCTAATGCCCCAACAGGTGCCATAACTGTAAAACCCTAACAGGTGCCATATAACTATGACACCTTATGCATTAATAGATGCCATAACTATGGAGCCTAATGCAAAAGTGTTGGAACCGGGGGTGGGTGGGTTAGCCCCCCTTTTTTGCAAAGATAGATATTATAAAAGCATTGAAATGTGGGATTAACCTTTTATTGTTGGTTTAGCTCCCCCTTTTGAATTAGGCCAAAAGAAAATATACTCTTGTTTCCTGTCCCCTGACCAAAAAAATTAGGGTAGGTAGGTAGGGAAAAAATTTTATTTTGAGAAAAAATTTTATTTTGAAAACTCCATGGATGCAGAACATATATCATGTAATAACACGAAAATGATTTGTTAACAGTTTACAGAGCAAGTTTGATAATGAAGATTTATAAAGTAAAGGTATCCTGTACACTTATGATGTATTAGTTCTGTAAATATTGTTGGTAGACTTAAAAATTTTAAAAATAGTCACCCAAAAAATGAAAATGTAATAAAATCTTATAGGGTCGGAGGGTAAAATGTAGGGTAGGTTGGATGACAGGAAACAAGAGAATTTTTTAATTTGGCCTTAGAATGGTTTCAATTTGTGTCCGACGCCTATGTAATGCATTTACAGGAGCCCTAACTATGGAGCCTAATGCATGAACAGATGCCTTATAACTATGGAGCCTTATCCCCTAACTGATGTCCTAAATATGGACCTTAATGCATTGACAGGTTTTCTAACTATGGAGACTAATGCCTGGACATGTGCCCTAAATATGGAGCTTAATGCCCTACCAGGAGCCCTAACTATAGAGGGTAATGCTTTAACAGGTGCTCTTGCTATGGATCCTAATGCATTAACAAGTGCCCTAACTATGGAACTCAATACCCTAACAGGAGCCTTAACTATAGAATCTAATGCCCTAACAGGTACCCTCACTATGAAACGTAATGCCTTAGCTGTGGAGCCTAATGTCCTAACAGGTTTTCTAACTATGGAGCTTAAAGTCCTAACAGGTTTCCTTACTATGGAGCCTAATGCCCTAACAGGTGCCCTAACTATGGAGCCTAATGCCCTACCAGGAGCCCAAACTATGGAGCCTGATGCCTTAACAGGTGCCCTTACTATGGAGCCTAATGCATTGACAGGCGTCCTAACTATATATGGAGCCTAATGCCCTAACAGGAGCCTTAACTATAGAGGCTAATGCTTTAACAGGTGCCCTAACTATAGATCCTAATGCCCTAACAGGAGCCCTTGCTATGGAGCCTTTTGCCTTAACAGGTGCCCTAACTATGGAGCCTTATACCCTAACAGGTGCCCTAACTATGGAGCTTAATGCCTCACACGTGCCTTAAATATGTTTCCTTATATCCTCTAACACGTGCTTTAACTATGGAGTCTAATGCCCTAACACGTGCCCAAAGTATGGAGCCTAAAGCCTAAATGGAGGTCCTAATTATACAGCTTAATGCCCTTACAGGTGCCCCATTGACGTAAATTTTGGAAGGGGCCCTTATACAACAAAAAACTTAATAGCCTTGTTTGTGTATCAACTGTCAGACCCACCTTTTTTAAATGTATATTATCTTTAATTTTAAAGAAAATCTATTATATTTTGTAAACGAAGGCATCGCCTGACTGACAACAGTATTTAAAAAAAACATTTAATGTCAAAGAAAAATATATTTTCTTGACCTGAAGGTGCTTGAATTAAAACGATCACATTTATTATTATTGATACCACCACTTAAAGATACTGTTATTTCTCAGAGTTTTTACAGATAACCTACAACATAAAAAAAATAATTATAATTATACCTTACACTCAAATTACGCATCACAATTTTATTTTAAGTGAAAATAACTGAAAGTAAATCTTTCTCTTAAAGATGGACCTTTTTGTATTTTTTCGCTTGTGACTTAGTTCTGTACAGTAATGGCTGGAATAGTGGACTCCTGTCCAAGGAACCTGACGGAAACATTGATAGCCTCTGCCAGACTGGGATGTGGTCAAGACAAGTATGGTAACAAACAGTACTTATGTCTCCCGAACTCAGAAAAGACGGGTCTGGTAGAATTCTGTCACGATGGAGTCATGTGGTTATTGGAAAGAGGTGAGTCATCAAATTTATATTTTTGTTATTTAATAAATTGCGTTTTTGAAACTGCTACCCAATACACAGGCAACTTAGCCACATATGATTCTCATATGATTGGTTTCATATGAGAATCATAGAAAAAGGGCATCATATGTGAATCATATGAAGCAAATCATATGATTTACATATAATCCACATATGTGAATCATATGAAAATAACTACATATGATTTTCATATGAATGACTTCAGTGTGTTTCAAGCCATTTACATATGAGAATCATATGAAAATGGCATCATATGTAAATCATATGAAACACTTATGTGTGTTTCAAGCCATTTACATATGAGAATCATATGAAAAGTACATTATATGTAAATCATATGAAACACTTGTGTGTTCTTTTTCAATATTTTTCACATTCTTGTACACATTTAAAAATCAGATATTTCTGCTTTAGATGAAAATTCATTACATTACAATGATCAATCTTCATTGGTTAAATATTTAAAAATATCTTAAAATGCTTACACAACTTTTTTGATAAAATTATTTTCATCAAGAGAAATAACTTATTTTTCACAGTGTACATTCTTAACAAGAAAATATACAAACAAGTCAGTAGCATTTGTCGATACATGTATTAAACATATTCTAACATGAGTACAAATTATAAGATTTCAGCAAAATGATTTAGTAGTTAAACATGTATACTGTACATGTACAAATGAATAACATAATTAGGTAATGTATAAAAATACCATATGACATGAAAGTGTCCAAAGCAACATTGAAATATCAGCAATAACATTTGTCATGTATTCTCTATTGTAAATTTATGAAAAATCAAGTTATGGATTATTCCAGCATACATTATGGGAAATCTTCACAGGTCAAATTCAGACAAGATTGTGTACATCCTCCCCATTTCATAATTATTCCATATATATTTCCTTGCTCTTTTTCCTTCTGTATCTTTCAGTTTTTTCAGTTGTCCTCCCTTTGATCTTCCATGACCATTTTGAAAATCTCTTTGAACTGTACCGTACCAAAAATGAATATCCACCACTTCTCCTTTTCCTGAACAATTTCTTTGTGGCACAGAATGGTCTCTACAAAAATTTCAAAAGTAAAAATAAAATAATTCTTAAATTCTATGAGTTATAAAAGTTACTTAGGTATTATCAGCAAACAAATGTATGCCCCATTCACTGACACAGATATGATACAAGATAAAACTAATGTTATATATGTTATACTAGGTGTTTTGAGGAATCCTATGATGTAATTTGCAAAACAATTACACTATTGAAAGATATGCTTCATAATAAAATCATAAAAAAAACATTTTTTTTTTGTTATTTTGACAATTAAATTTGGAATGTTCAAACAGTATATATTAATTCAGATTGTCAAAAAAATTAAGAAGATTCTGATACAGATACATGTATATTATTTTTGGACAAAAAATACTACAGACAAGTAGACAGGCAGAAAAACAGACATTGTGAATCAAAGATATCCCAAACTTTTGGGAAGACTATAACAAAGTTTATTTAACAGTGTGTAGTTACCTTAACTTTGAAGCAAGCCTTGGATCTTGGGATTTGTTCTTTATCTTACAAGAGGCTGACTGTATATTGAACCTGTAAGACAAATACTAACAGTCTCACACAGTAGATATTTTCTAAGAATACATTTAATTAAAACTTAAACTATCAAAATTTTACTTAGCCAAACCCAAAAGATTTAAAATGAAAAGCAAATTAATAGGGCTGTCACGGGTACCCAAAATGACCCGGAACCGCGGAACAATTCATTCGGTTTGGGTACGGTTCTTTTTTTCTGGAATTCGGTTCGGTTCCAATTTGTATAGTAGTGTAGGTTTTACTATAAAAATGGCGTAAAAAAACGAGAGATTTCTTAATACATTGCAATTATAAGGTGATTTAAATAATAGGGTATAATTGTTGTCTAGTCAGGAAGCTACTTTAAACTAGTTTAAATGTTGCTATTTCGAAGATTAAATGAAAATATTCTTTTTGTTGTTGAAAATAATACAAATCATTAGCTTTTATTCCATTAATTACCCGAACCGAAATACCCGAAACCAAACCTAAAAAAATCAGAACCGACCCGACCCGAAAAATTTTGGAACCGTGACAGCCCTACAAATTAATTTTTTCTTTATCTATTTTGTCTGGGAAATGCATTATAACAGAAAAAAATTGTGAAAGGTTTTTTTTAGAAGGAAAGGGGGGGGGGGGGTAAACAGAGTAGAAATTTACATATAATTATTAACAATTTCTTTTGAATTAATGTACATTTAAATTCAGCTTTTGATATATATAAGTGAAATTGCAATTTTACTTCAGTATAATAAGGAAAGATAAGTGAACACTGTTTCATATGATTCTCATATGATCACCGTTTCATATGATTCTCATATGAGCACAGTCAAAACATTCGTATGAATTTTACCTGAGTATAACAAGGACAAATTAGTGAACATTATTTCATATGATTCTCACATGTTCAGTTTCATATGATTCTTATATGATTATTGTCAGAATATTCATATGATTCTCATATGCAGGATCTTTCATATGAGAATCATATGTATATTACTTCATATGATTCACATATGTATGATCATATGATTCTCATATGATTGGCCACATATGATTCTCATATGATTATATATACATATGATTCTCATATGATCCACATATGATCTTCATATGAAAGACGATGCATATGTGGATCATAAATGGCTAAATTACCTATGTATGACAGCTTAGGCAAGTATTGAACTTTCCCACATGCAAGTCAAACTCCAAGGTCAAAATCCTTGGTATCCAAACAAAGATCATGTGATAAGGAATGCACAAGTAAAATAACAACCATAGTACATGTGCTTATTTTTTTAAACGTTATGGTGAATATTGAAGTTTTTAAAAGTGGGTCGAACTGTAAGATTAGTGTCAAAAAATCAAAATACTATTTAAAATGAATTTGATGAAATTTATAGAAATGCATTTGCCGAAAAGTTCTCTGCCATGAGCGTGAGTTTAGAATGAGTTATCAAGAGTGACGAAACTAAATATAATATATTAAAGGAACCTTTTTCTTGCCTATAGATTAATTAAATCAGTTACACAAGAGACATGTAAATGTTACATCATCCAAATTACACAAAGTAAAAATGATATACATCTAATTGATTGCGCAATATACCAAGTAATTAACAATTCAGTATAATTTAGGTTATTGTTTGGAAACCACTGGCGATCAACTGTCAAAAACTAACTGCTCACATTTCCTGATGGGCTGTCCAGATACAGAAGTCCACATCAACGAAATGTACAGATGTAAGGATAACTTTATATATGAAGAATAATGTCATACTCATCCTTAAAAAAACCTACTAATATTACTATAAATATGTATTTACATACATGTTCTCAATATTCTTCTAATTTAGATCCCGCCTGTTTAAGAATTAGTACAGAGTATCAATGTTATCTTGCTGATCCGATCTGTGGAAATACGTAAGTGATAAATATTCATCATTCAAATCAGCAAAATGTCCTAGTCTTGTTACTATATTCATACATATATATTTATTTTATGTTTAGCACATGGGATACAACTACCAAAGACAAAACAGAGGAATTGGTGACCCATGGATTCTCCACAGACCATGGCATATATAATATAACAGAAACAATTATTCAAACAACCACATTGGCAGATAATAACTCAGCATTAATTGGGGCAATCGTGGGAATTCTGGTAGTTGTGTTAGTCGCTATTCTTCTACCTTTGACTGTATTTTTAGTTTTACGAAGAAGAAAACTGAGACAAGAAAAAGGAAAAGCTGAAGTTATAGGTACTGCAGTTTGTGCATACTATCTTTTTTGATATTTTCTGTGTGAATGTAAGATTCTTAAATTTTTTTAATTAAAGATAAAAAGAAAATAATAGCATTTATAAAAAAGATAACTGAATACATTTTTTCACTCATGAATAAAGATTTTTTTTCTTTCTTACATTATTCATTTTACTTTCAAAGAATATTTAATTTTATAACTTTCATAAAACATGAAACTTTTTTGGAAGGTAATTGTGAAATCTTGTTGAAACCAAATGAGGAAGAATGATTAGAAAATTTGATTTAAGAAAATTTTGAATATTTGGAATGTGAATAATTATACAAGAGGCCCACGGGCCTTATAGGTCACCTGATCATTATGCAACAACTTTCCAGTTACAGTGTATTGAATTTGATTCAATAACATGTTTTAAGCCAGATGCTATATGGCATTCACAATTTTGAAAGAGCACCATTGATCATCATAACAATAAACTTAGCAGTCGCTTAGCTTGGTTACTGAATACCCATATGCAGGGTAGGGAACAAAATGCACTCCAACTAATCAGTAATATTCATCAATAATCAGTAGTGCCACTAACACTCTGACCCTAGGTTGCACAAATTTTTAAAAGGCACCCTTAAAATTGCCTATCAAAAAGTATAAATGTTTTATAAATACAAAGGACCAGATTTCAAACAATTAATTCATTTCCAGTATATAAGTAGAGCCCCCCACCCTATATAGGTAGTTCATCTGCTTCATACCAAGAGACAGAGAAGAAAATTTCAAAGAGCCCCACCCTTACACCAGAACCCCTGACCCTGGGGCCATATAATTCACAATTTTGGTAGAGGCACTCTTGCTCATCATAACTTTGCACTTAATTGGTTTATTTAGGAGCAGAGAAGAAGATTTTCAAAGAATTCATGTAATTTCACTATATAATCAATAGAGCCCCCCCCCCAACACCAGAACCCTTGATGATAGGGCCATGAAATTCACAATTTTGGTTGAGGCACACTTGCTCATCATTACTATGCACTAAGTTAGTTTATTTAATACCTAGGAGCGGAGAAGAAGATTTCCAAGGAATTCACATATTTTCACTATATAATCAATAGAGCCCCCCCCCCCCCAGAATCCTTGACCCTGGGGCCATAAAATTCACAATCTTAGTTGAGGAACACTTGCTTATCATCACTATGTACTTAGTTAATTTATTTGATACCTAGGAGCAGAGAAGAGGATTTTCAAACAATTCATGTATTTTCACTTTATAAACAATAAAGTCCCCCCCCAGAACCATTTATGCTGGTGGGGCCATAAAATTCACAATTTTTGTAGAGGCACTCTTGCTCACCATAACTATACACTTAGTTAGTTTATTTAATACCTAGGAGCAGAGAAGAAGATTTTCAAAGAATTCATGTAATTTCACAATATAATAAATAGAGCCCCCCCCCCCCCCCCAACATCATGACCCTTGACCCTGGGGCCATAAAATTCACAATTTTGGTAGAGGACTCTTGCTCATCATAACTATGCACTTAGTTAGTTTATTTAATACCTAGGAGCAGAGAAGAAGATTTTCAAAGAATTCATGTAATTCCACTATATAATCAATGACCCCCCCCCTAACACTAGAACCCTTGACCCTGGGGCCATAAAATTCACAATTTTGGTAGAGGCACTCTTGCTCATCATAACTATTTACTTACTTGGTTTATTTAATACCCAGGGGCAGAGAAGAAGATTTTCAAAGAAATCATGTATTTTTACTATATAATCAATAGAGCCCCACCCTAACACCAGAACCCCTGACCCTAGGGCCATAAAATTCACAAATTTGGTAGAGGCACTCTTGCTCATCATAACTATGTACTTAGTTGGTTTATTTAATACCCAGGAGCAGAGAAGAAGATTTTCAAAGAAATAATGCATTTTCACTATATACTTATTTAGCCCCGCCCTAGCACTAGAACCCCTGACCCCAGGGCCATGAATTTCACAATTTTGGTAGAGGACTCAATGCTGATTACAATCATGCAAATAGTTTGACTGCTTGATGTCCAGGAGTAAAGAAGAAGATTTTTAAAGATTGCATTAATTTTAGTGGTTTTTGCCCCACCCCTCAGGCCCCAGGGGGGCAGGGATCATGAAATTCACAATTTTTGTTCCCCTTCACCCATAGATGCTTTGTGCCAAATTTGGTTGAAATTGGTTCAGTGGTTGCAGAGAAGAAGCTGAAAATGTTCAAATGTTAACACACGACACACAACACACGACGGACGACGACGGACGAAAACGGATAGCAATAGGTCACCTGAGTTTACTCAGGTGACCTAAAAACATTGAATTGGAACTCCTTTTTCAGAAGACGAAAATCAAGTCTTATTGGAACCGTTACCAACAATGGACATCAGACAAGGTACTTAAATGTAATAGATTCAAGTAAATAATGCTTTATATTTTAAAAATGATTTAAGGAAACCCTAAAACCTAAAACTACTTAGTATTTTGTTAATTAACATAGGGTATCTCTCTAACCTGCGCAGGAAAACTTCAAAAACAATATTTTTATACCCAACGCAACTAGTTGCGGGAGGTATAATGTTTTTGACCCGTCTGTCAGTCTATCTCCTATGTTTCAAATTAAAAGGTCTGATGAAGGGTAAAGTTGACAGCAGAAAAACAGACAATGCAAAAAAAATATACGCCCAGGATCACACTGTATTGATCAGGGCGTATAATAATTAGAAAAAATGAATTCATTTACTGTTAAAAAATTGCGGAATTAACTGTAATGAGCAGTTTTGTTTAATTTAATTAAGAGGGTCGACTGGGGTTTCCATTGCGTAATATTTCGCGCATCATAGTACAATGTAGCGTATTTACTGTTTTAAAGCAAATTTTTTCTTCACTGAAACAAAACAAACTAAACAAACTCAAGATTTTACGATTTTTATAACAATTTTTATAATTAATAGGTACATTGATGTCCCCTCTGTAAACAAGGTGGTAGAATTTTGTGGTTCTTATATATAATGTGCAGTATTGTATTGATCATTATGTATCATAGTTTAAGCAAAAAGTCTTGTAGTATTTGTAAAGTGCGTAAGATTTGCACTTTCCCATATAATTCAAATAGTAAATGTACCTGTCATTTGAGACGGTCCCTTAAAATACATGGGCGATAAATTTTCCCAATACTTGTCATGTACACTGAAGTCAATGTTAGTTATATAATATATAAAATTAAAGAGTTTCTCCATTTTAGTTTTTACACAATAAAACCCCAGTCGCCCCTTTAACTTGTAAGGGTGAAGGATATTATGGAGATAACGAATAGTATTTAATATCAATCCCATAAAACAATACAAAATAGGAGCAGATCAAACACTGACCTCTGAAACATCAGAGGTGGGATCATGTGACATGGAGGAGTGAGCAGCCCCTTCCAACCGGTCACATCCACCGTGTGCTCCTAGTCAATATCAGGGAAATAATAGAAAAAATCCATAGTCAATTTAGTGTATATATAATGGACTAACAATTAGTAAGAAAAACGTCACCCAGCATTTGACTCAGAGATAAATTTTGATTATTTGCTGACAAGATCAGCATAGGTAGATCATAGGTAGATCATTCTAACCCATCAATAAAGCTCTTTAGTGTGCAGTATTCAGCATGTTCAGAGCTTCGATCCATATGCATGTTATGGAATCACATTTTAATTTGTTGAGTATGCTAGGGCATCAACGATAGTTCGAAACGTGGGATAATGTGCATAACAGGCGAAGTCCATTATACATAAATTTTCCTTCGTTTCAAACTGTCGTCCATGGAACTGCCATCTTTGTCCCAGGCATACCCAACAAATGTGATTCTTTGTATTAACATTACATTGTGACATAAAATTATAAACATAAATTAAAAAAAAAGTCTGATAGATTGTAATTACATGAGGCCGCCCATGTCAATTATAATAGTTCTCGGGTATATTCTAAAATTTTGAATATTAAAGGGGGAATGATTTGCATTCATTCTTTAAAAAGCTTGTTTTCTCCCCAGTAAAAAAACAAGTGGCCCACGGGCCTTATAGGCCACCTGAGTATCATGTAACAAGTTTCCAAGTATTGAATTTGGTTTGTTTATTAAACCAGAGGCCATTAAATTCACAATTTTAAAAGAAGCGCCATTGCTTATCATAACTATACTCTTAGCATACTTGCCTGTTTACTTAATACCCTGGAATAGATCAGAATAACAAAGAAAAAAATGCATTTCCACTATCCCATATGAAACAGTCCGGGCAGCTTAGACACGGCTCAGGCAAGGATTCCGTTTTTTCAGAAACCCGTGCTTATAGCATTTCTGCTCATATCTAAAATATGTATGGAAAGCCATGCCTAAAAGTAGTCGAGGCACGGACACGGACACGGCACGGGATATTGGCCGAATTATTTAAATTAGATTACACGGTTTTACAAAACTGTGTCAGAAAGCCATGCTGGTTTCCATATATGGACTCACGGATTCTGTAAACCCGTGTCTGAAACCCCTGTCCATTTCCATATATGGAGACACGGATTCTGTAAACCCGTGTCTGAAACCAATGTCCTTTTCCATTTATGAAGACACGGAGTTTTGGAAATCCGTGTCAAAAAAGCCGTGTGACATACCAAATAAGGAGTCACGGGATCTGTGCATTTGTCTAGATCTAGGTCATGGCACTTGGAGAATCTACTGATGTAACTGTGGATGCCAAAATGGTGACTGAAACCAAACTAACTACACAATGCTTTACATTCTTTACTAAAAGTTTAAAATCTTATATGAATGTTTCTATTTACTGTCTGTTAAAGATTAACTTTATTAGTTACAATCCAAGCTAGTTTTTAATTAAGCACTGGATGAAAAATACAGTTTCCGCATGGCTGAAACTCTACTGAAACTCTGCGGAAACTTAAGGTTACTAATAGTTTCTGCAAAGTTTCAGTGCGGAAACTTCAAGTTTCATCAAGTATCCGCAGTGCGGAAACCAAAGGTGTCCACGAATCCAAATAGTTTCCGCATCTGAAACTTGCTGAAACTTGAGGTATACGCAAGGTTTCAGTATGCGTATATGGTTGAAATACATATGGTTTACCAATGGTTTCCGCAACTGAAACTTGAGGTATACGCAAGGTTTCAGTATGCGTATACAGTTGAAATACATATGGTTTACCAATGGTTTCCGCAACAGAAACTTGCTGAAACTTGAGGTATACGCAAGGTTTCAGTATGCGTTTACAATATTGATATACATATGGTATACTATAGGTTTCCGCAACGGAAACTGTAGTATTGACTACACAATTTTAGCCCTGGTTTTCAACCAAGTCATTTTCCCCCTGAATTCTCATATTGGAAAAAACAACACACTAACACTAGTTATCAAAGAATATTTAATGTTATTATCAACATTTACATACATCGGTTGAACATTTTTCTCTTGCATCATAAACATTTTTACAGCTAAGTCCGAGCCCTCAAGTCACGACAGGAGGACAGAGAAAATGTCTGCATTTAATGATGTCTCATACATCAGAGATATAATCTTGCGAGAGGAACTTAGAACTGCATTACTGCAATCAATCAACTAAACCTGAATTCGGTTTATGCAAGTCTAGTATTATTAAGGAAATGTAAAATTACTTGGTATAATAAATGCACAAGTTCACATCATAAGTAGCCAATAAGCACCAAGGTGGATTCCTTTGTTAAAAATTCAGTTTGTAGTCCATCATCAACCAACAGAAAAGTCCTTGAGTGGTTCTCATTCTTTGATGACCCACTTACACTTATCCTGCTTATGCTAGTGGTGGCTGCATGTTTTCGGAACTGTGCCACACATCACTGTAGTCTGCATGTATGACCTGTTCCAGTTTCAGTTGACTTTAAAAATATCAATGCTTGAGTATAGAGAGACTTGTTTTCATCATTGGAGAAATGATATCATGTTCAAGTTGGATTGATCTGCTCATCAGTTACTTCAACCTATTGAAAATATATATAAATATAGTTTAACAAAATCCCAATCTAAATAAAACAACATGTTAGATCCTCTCGCATACTCGCTTCACAACATCTAACAACATCCCATAGAAGGTCACGTCAGATGTCAAATACGGAACAACTCTAGACTTATTTGTTCCAATTTATGAAATACAATAATTTTGCAGTCGACTATTTGATTGGTTAATAGAATATGACCTCTGATGTCACACTCTACAGGATGTTGTTAGATTTAGGCAGTATCTAACATTTAATATTAATTGGATGGACAAAGTCCCTAATGCTGTTCTACTACAAGCTTTTGTTTGATTAATTTCACATTTTAAGCATTTTTTTATCAGAATGATTTAAAAAGAAATCTAAAAATTTATCAAGTGTAAAATATCATTAGTTTATTAAAGATGCCTCTTTTAAACACTTCACTAGGGATAATGAAATAAACAAACTTGAATTTATTTAAACATGTTAAATGTACTTGAATATGTATGTATAGATTTGTTCCTGATTTTCAGAATAAATTAAGGAATTTTCTTTCATTCTACTTGTTCATCAAAATATTTTTTTTTATTTGAATAACAACTAGAGGCCCATAGACCTTATAGGTATCATATATGTAACAACTTTCACTCAATTTAATTTGGTTCGTGTTTTAAACAAAAAGCCATGAAATTCCAAATTTTGAAAGATGCACCGTTGTTTATCATAATTATACACTTAACATGCTTACTCTGGTTACTCAGTAACCAAAGGTGGATCAGAGTAAAAAAGATAAAATGCTATTCCATTTGTAAACCACCAGTTGTGTACCCCACCCCACAGGAACCACTAACCCTGGGGCCACACATTTCAAAATTTTCTAAATGTTATCTTAAGTTTTATTTCATCATAAATGGTTGATTAATTCCAAAGAGCTATATGGACCAACCCTAGTACTAAAACCCCTGACCTTGGGGCCATGAATTTCATAATTATGGTAGATGACTCAGTGCTCATTTCAATCATGCCAACAGTTTGACTGCTTGATGTCCTGGAGTAAAAAAAGAAGGGGGGATATCATAAAATTTACAAATTTTGTTCCCCTTCACCCGTAGATGCTTTGTACCAAAATTGGTTGAAATTGGTTGAGCGGTTGCAAGGAAGAAGCTGAAAATGTTCAAATGTCAACACACGACAGACAAAAACAGATAGTAAATAGGTCAACTGAGTTTACTAAGGTGACCTAAAAATAGGCCTGCTTATAAATACTTAATTTAAATAAATCAGAGAATTATTGTAGTTAGCTCGCAAAATGAGACTTTCTAAGAAAATGTTAACATCTGTTAACAGGGATCATGAAATTCACAATTTTTGTTCCCCTTCACCCATAGATGCTTTGTGCCAAATTTGGTTGAAATTGGTTCAGTGGTTGCAGAGAAGAAGCTGAAAATGTTCAAATGTTAACACACGACACACAACACACGACGGACGACGACGGACGAAAACGGATAGCAATAGGTCACCTGAGTTTACTCAGGTGACCTAAAAACATTGAATTGGAACTCCTTTTTCAGAAGACGAAAATCAAGTCTTATTGGAACCGTTACCAACAATGGACATCAGACAAGGTACTTAAATGTAATAGATTCAAGTAAATAATGCTTTATATTTTAAAAATGATTTAAGGAAACCCTAAAACCTAAAACTACTTAGTATTTTGTTAATTAACATAGGGTATCTCTCTAACCTGCGCAGGAAAACTTCAAAAACAATATTTTTATACCCAACGCAACTAGTTGCGGGAGGTATAATGTTTTTGACCCGTCTGTCAGTCTATCTCCTATGTTTCAAATTAAAAGGTCTGATGAAGGGTAAAGTTGACAGCAGAAAAACAGACAATGCAAAAAAAATATACGCCCAGGATCACACTGTATTGATCAGGGCGTATAATAATTAGAAAAAATGAATTCATTTACTGTTAAAAAATTGCGGAATTAACTGTAATGAGCAGTTTTGTTTAATTTAATTAAGAGGGTCGACTGGGGTTTCCATTGCGTAATATTTCGCGCATCATAGTACAATGTAGCGTATTTACTGTTTTAAAGCAAATTTTTTCTTCACTGAAACAAAACAAACTAAACAAACTCAAGATTTTACGATTTTTATAACAATTTTTATAATTAATAGGTACATTGATGTCCCCTCTGTAAACAAGGTGGTAGAATTTTGTGGTTCTTATATATAATGTGCAGTATTGTATTGATCATTATGTATCATAGTTTAAGCAAAAAGTCTTGTAGTATTTGTAAAGTGCGTAAGATTTGCACTTTCCCATATAATTCAAATAGTAAATGTACCTGTCATTTGAGACGGTCCCTTAAAATACATGGGCGATAAATTTTCCCAATACTTGTCATGTACACTGAAGTCAATGTTAGTTATATAATATATAAAATTAAAGAGTTTCTCCATTTTAGTTTTTACACAATAAAACCCCATTCGCCCCTTTAACTTGTAAGGGTGAAGGATAGTATGGAGATAACGAATAGTATTTAATATCAATCCCATAAAACAATACAAAATAGGAGCAGATCAAACACTGGCCTCTGAAACATCAGAGGTGGGATCATGTGACATGGAGGAGTGAGCAGCCCCTTCCAACCGGTCACATCCACCGTGTGCTCCTAGTCAATATCAGGGAAATAATAGAAAAAATCCATAGTCAATTTAGTGTATATATAATGGACTAACAATTAGTAAGAAAAACGTCACCCAGCATTTGACTCAGAGATAAATTTTGATTATTTGCTGACAAGATCAGCATAGGTAGATCATAGGTAGATCATTCTAACCCATCAATAAAGCTCTTTAGTGTGCAGTATTCAGCATGTTCAGAGCTTCGATCCATATGCATGTTATGGAATCACATTTTAATTTGTTGAGTATGCTAGGGCATCAACGATAGTTCGAAACGTGGGATAATGTGCATAACAGGCGAAGTCCATTATACATAAATTTTCCTTCGTTTCAAACTGTCGTCCATGGAACTGCCATCTTTGTCCCAGGCATACCCAACAAATGTGATTCTTTGTATTAACATTACATTGTGACATAAAATTATAAACATAAATTAAAAAAAAAGTCTGATAGATTGTAATTACATGAGGCCGCCCATGTCAATTATAATAGTTCTCGGGTATATTCTAAAATTTTGAATATTAAAGGGGGAATGATTTGCATTCATTCTTTAAAAAGCTTGTTTTCTCCCCAGTAAAAAAACAAGTGGCCCACGGGCCTTATAGGCCACCTGAGTATCATGTAACAAGTTTCCAAGTATTGAATTTGGTTTGTTTATTAAACCAGAGGCCATTAAATTCACAATTTTAAAAGAAGCGCCATTGCTTATCATAACTATACTCTTAGCATACTTGCCTGTTTACTTAATACCCTGGAATAGATCAGAATAACAAAGAAAAAAATGCATTTCCACTATCCCATATGAAACAGTCCGGGCAGCTTAGACACGGCTCAGGCAAGGATTCCGTTTTTTCAGAAACCCGTGCTTATAGCATTTCTGCTCATATCTAAAATATGTATGGAAAGCCATGCCTAAAAGTAGTCGAGGCACGGACACGGACACGGCACGGGATATTGGCCGAATTATTTAAATTAGATTACACGGTTTTACAAAACTGTGTCAGAAAGCCATGCTGGTTTCCATATATGGACTCACGGATTCTGTAAACCCGTGTCTGAAACCCCTGTCCATTTCCATATATGGAGACACGGATTCTGTAAACCCGTGTCTGAAACCAATGTCCTTTTCCATATATGAAGACACGGAGTTTTGGAAATCCGTGTCAAAAAAGCCGTGTGACATACCAAATAAGGAGTCACGGGATCTGTGCATTTGTCTAGATCTAGGTCATGGCACTTGGAGAATCTACTGATGTAACTGTGGATGCCAAAATGGTGACTGAAACCAAACTAACTACACAATGCTTTACATTCTTTACTAAAAGTTTAAAATCTTATATGAATGTTTCTATTTACTGTCTGTTAAAGATTAACTTTATTAGTTACAATCCAAGCTAGTTTTTAATTAAGCTTAAGATTTTAATGATAATTTACAATTCAATAGTAATTTAATCTAGCTAAGTTTACACCATCTGAGAATTTAGTTTAGACAAAACTTTCGCTAGCAGTGAATGTGATAAAAAATATATAGGGAATGAAAGTCCCACTAAAGTCATTCAAATAAACAAAGACTATTTCATCATGTTCATTGTCAACTTGCAATACAGAAAGATCATGAAAATTGAAAATTTGACTTATTTATTCTATATTACACTTACTACATTTTGTTCAAAGTGAAGAAATCATCCCAGACTGACATAAATACAATTCCAACTGACATCTTTTAGTTTAATATCCTTTAACTAGACTAAAAAAGACACATTCTTAGCGCATGACCATGAATCCCTCCAATTTAATATTCAAATAAAGGAAGTTATGATTGAGCATGCTCAGTAAAAAGCCGTGAGATATAAATAAATAGTTTGAAGCAAAACCCGCTTGAGTTAAAAACCGCCTCCCTGGTACACGGATTCCATCCCTCCATACGGGTTTCTGTGAGTGAGGATTCTAGCTCACACTTTAAGACTCAGTAAAAAACCTTATTGCAAAGTAATGAGCAAGGAAAATTAAAATAATCATAACCCTGGATGATGGATTCGGACTTTTTTGAATACATATATATTAGATTTTCATTATAACTTTAAAAATCTTCTCTTGCTATTGTTATACCATGTGCATGGTTATGATAAGCAGGGGTGTCTGTTTTGAAATTGGGAATACTTTGGTGCTTGGTTCAGGAACTTATTATAGGGTATTTTGGTGGGGTTACTGTACGACACTTACCATGCGAGTGAATTCTAAAAAAGTCCAATTAAAGCCCACGCCGTACCTTTATCTTAAGTAAAAAAATGTTTTACTAACTTTCCACTAAATAACATGCCACTTATTAACTAGGATCGAGAGTTAATGATACACAAGAACCTGGAGACATTGTGGGCACTGCTGAAGATGATGAAAATGATAATTTTGGTGTTCCTGAAAGTGAACGTTCACTGCTGGCAACAGACGAAGGTATTCACCTAAACAATGTCATATTTATTTAAAATTTGCCTCTTTTTGTACAACTTCAAAATTGAAGCGTTGAGTAAAATATTTTTTTTTCTACTGAGGATATTTGTGTAGGAAGACTTGTAAATAAAATACAAAAGTATATATGTTCTTGTTATTAAATCATCATATGGCTTAAGTAAAGTACTTCATATTTATCTAAAATGTGATTGGAAAAAATGAAGTTCTTTTCGAGATAAAATGGATAAAAACATTCTATTTCAGGAACTATAGAGATACAAAGAGCGGTCGTCAATGGAGATCCAGCGGATAGTGAGGAATTTGTCATACAAGCTGATGACGGTGATAATATTATGAAGCAAAATTCATTGACACAAAGCAGGAGAAAGAGAAGTAAGAATACAGATACCACACATTTTATCATTTCCTTTTTTATAGTTATTTTTTAGCAGGATTCTTTTAGCAGGACTTGCAAAATCCTTTAGTCCCTAACAAAAAATACAATAATGAACTATGATTATAGTAAACTATAGTTTATTATAGTTAGCCATAGTAAATTAAAGTTCCGAAGTTTTTACTATAGTTAATCAAAGGTTGAATTGTTAACTATATTTAAACAAAGTTTTCAATTTTTTTTACAATAACTACTGTAAATCACATTCTCAAAGATTTTACTATACTTTATCAACGTTTCAAAGATTTTTTGAATCAGTCTCACATGTACTTTTATCGTTTTTTTAATTATTATTTAGCTGTTCTAAGGGGTCGATGTTATATTGTTTGTGGCTGGTTTTTGTTGTAAATCTTTATTTAAATATACTTCTAAACGTAGCTTATCAAAATGAAATACATGTATTTACGTTTATAAGATAAAAAAATCCATGTGGACTGAAGTTGATGAGGCATTTTTTTTAATTCTAAATGACGCAAAACTTTTTTAGCTCACCTGAGCCGAAGGCTCAAGTGAGCTTTTCTGATCATATTTTGTCCAGCGTCCGTCTGTCCGTCTGTCTGTCCGTCTGTCTGTCTGTAAACTTTTCACATTTTCGACTTCTTCTCAAGAACCACTGGGCCAATTTCAACCAAACCACAAAGTATCCTTGGGTGAAGGGGATTCAAGTTTGTTCAAATAAAGGGCCACGCCCTTATTCAAGGGGAGATAATTGGGAATTAATGAAAATTTAATGGTATATTTTAAAAATCTTCTTCTCAAGAACCACTGTGCCAGGAAAGATGAAACTTATGGAGAAACATCCTCAGGTAGTGTAGATTCAAGTTTGTTCAAATCATAACCCTGGGAGTAGGGCGGGGCCAAAATGGCCGACCAAAGTTTTATATAGAAATATATAGGAAAATTCTTTAAAAATCTTCTTCTCAAGTATGACAAAGCCATAATTCATCATATTTATATGGAAGCATGCTCAGGTAGTGTAGATTCAAGTTTGTTCAAATCATGACCCCTGAGGGTAGGGCAGGGCCAAAATGGCCAACCAAAGTTTTACATTGAAATATATAGGAAAATTCTTTAAAAATCTTCTTCTCAAGAATGATAAAGCCATAATTCATCATATTTATATGGAAGCATGCTCAGGTAATGTAGATTCAAGTTTGTTCAAATCATGACCCCCAGAGGTAGGGCGGGGCCAAAATGGCCGACCAAAGTTTTACATAGAAATATATAGAAAAATTCTTTAAAAATCTTCTTCTCAAGTATGACAAAGCAATAATTCATCATATATATATTGAAGCATGCTCAGGTAGTGTAGATTCAATTTTGTTCAAATCATGACCCCCGGGGGTAGGGCGGGGCCAAAATGGCTGACCAAAATTTTACATAGAAATATATAGAAAAATTCTTTAAAAATCTTTTTCTCAGGAATGACAAAGCCATAAATCATCATATTTATATGGAAACATGCTCAGGTAGTGTAGATTCAAATTTGTTCAAATCATGACCCCTGGGGGTAGGGCGGGGCCAAAATGACCGACCAAAGTTTTACATAGAGATATATAGGAAAATTCTTTAAAAATCTTCTTCTCAAGTATGACAAAGTCATAATTCATCATATTTATATTGAAGCATGCTCAGGTAGTGTAGATTCAATTTTGTTCAAATCATGACCCCCAGGGGTAGAGTGGGGCCAAAATGGCCGACCAAAGTTTTTCATAGAAATATATTGAAAAATTCTTTAAAAATCTTCTTCTCAAGAATGACAAAGCCATAATTCATCATATTTATTTGGAAACATGCTCAGGTAGTGTAGATTCAAGTTTGTTCAAATCATGACCCCGGGGGGTAGGGCGGGGCCAAAATGGCCGACCAAAGTTTTACATAGAGATATATAGGAAAATTCTTTAAAAATCTTCTTCTCAAGAATGACAAAGCCATTATTCATCATATTTATATGGAAGCATGTTCAGGTAGTGTAGATTCAAGTTTTTTTTTAAATCATGACCTCTGTAAGTAGGGTGGGGCCAAATTGGCCGACCAAAGTTTTACATAGAAATATATAGGAAAATTCTTTAAAAATCTTCTTCTCAATCATTTTCTAAAAAATAGCAAATCCATGATTGGTCATGGGACTACTTTTGGATTAAAACTTTACAATAAAAAGTCATTTCATACTAGTCCTATCCTTGGTACTCAGGTGAGCGATGTGGCCCATGGGCCTCTTGTTGTAGTATATTTTTTCCCTTGATATATGAAACTAAATTTACATCTTCATAATATTAAATTTCTAATAGATTAAAAAAAAATATTGCTCATCATGATGAGTCTTTGTTGTTTTTTAAAATCTTTTATAAATCTTAAATTTGTAATAATTATTATAAAATGTAGAGAACGAGAATCAAAAACATAATTGCATCAAAGTTCCAAAGTTTTAAATATAGTTAATCAGAGTTCCAAAGGTTTCTCTTTAGTAAATCAAAGTTCCAAAGGCTTCTCTATAGTAAATCAAAGTTCCAAAGTTTTTACAACCATTGTAAGTTTTTATTATAGTACATGTAAATCGAAGTGTTATTTGAGGATATGCTATCCTCCGAATAAATAAGCTACTAACAAAGTTTAACATGACCAATGCATGTACTTGTATCTAAGCAAATAAGTCTGTTAGTAATAAAAATAAAACAAAGAATTAGATACGCTTGTAGCAAATAGAGAAGTACCGTATATACTCGCCACAAAGTCGGTGTTTTGGGAGTTTAATGTTGGTACAAAACTCAGTGTTCGACTTATAAGCGAGTCGTAGAAAGATTGATTCAATTATTAAGGTCAAACTTTCACATGAAAATGTATCCTAAGACATAACTTTAGACCTTTCTTGACATTAGGATTTGGTCCTATGTACAAGAAAAGCCATTATAACGACATTGTGGGCAGTAAATGTAGGTACACTTTGTCGCCGACGATAAACAGAACAAAACGACAATGTGTACCGTCCTTCACCTCCAACTGTTTTCAGAAGGGATTTTTTAAAAAATATAAAACTTGTTTTTCACATTATCCAGAGTTATTGTCCATTTTGATGTTGATTTACAGTCACGATAGCAGTCAAAGATTCAAAAGGCACTGTTTTCTCCTAAAGATATACTTAGTAACCAACTTTGAGGACAGTGTCTGAGAAATGCAATTAAAATGAATGTGTGTATGTTTATATGCTGTCTTTTGTTGTTCCATACTCTGCCAGTAGAAGTATGATATATTAGACCTTTAGAAAGTATAAATATATATGAATAACGTATAGGAAGAATAAGAAAAATGGATATATCGCTGACGATCTAAGGTAACTCTTGCAAATGCAAACGTCGTCTAAATGTGTTCAAAATACAATTACTCTTCACACATCAGATAAAATCCTGTTTGCCCTCACATTAACAGCTTTAAACATTTTAAAATAGAGATCCGTTGAAGTGGTACAAATAAAATGATTGTTTTAATTGTAAATCTTTCAAGTGGAAATAAGACCATTGAATGTCTTTAATATATTTTTGAAAGTTAATTGCGATATTGTTTTCTTGTAGTTCCATTCTTTGGCAATGTTGGCTATTACAGGGTGTGGAAGACAAAGATATCAGGTGAGCGTCTATCCAGAAAAACAGAAAAGATTTGTATTTACCTAACACTTAATAATTTTAGATAGTTTATTTGCCAAGCCTAACACGTATTCTTTAAAATAGCTCATTTGCCAAGCCTAGTATATCATAATAAATGTTGAGGCATTTAATTTCATTTTTTCATATTGGGAAAGTTCTATTAAAGATCTCCTAAATACAGAAATTCCACGAATTTTCACATTGTCTTCGCGAAGAAATTCATATTTGAAGTAGGCATGGTCACTACACTGAGCTGAAAATCTTTGCCAGGAAAATGAAAATAAGAGCAATTCGAAAATTGCGCTTTTTACATAAATCGCCTCAAACCTCATATTTAAGAAATGATTCTTACATATAGAAGATAAATATCTTGAACGCTGTATACTTTTCAGATGGATTCAATACTTCAGAAGAAAAGCACGAGAGTTCAAATATAGCAGTTAATGTGGTCAATTGCAATTTGAGGGGATACCAAAAAATATCGACTTTATGAGTCACATGAATTAAGAAAATGCTATATATACATGGAAAGACATTGTTAAAAAACTAAACATTTAATCGTCACAGAAATTTGTAGAATTCTGACAAAGGAAAGAAATATAACAATATTTCAATCAGATAGGTGCCCTATTTTCTCACAAATGTCCAAGAGTGAACTTTCGTTAAATGTGCCAACAGTTTATTTTAAAACAAATGTTAAAACAAAATAGAAGATTTGAAAAATTGCTTAATGTATGATGAAACATGGGTGCCCTTTTTCATTGCTGTAAAATAAGATTAATGATAAAAATGTAGAATCAAAGAAAAGGGTGTCATTTGACTATCAAAACGAGAAGCAGTGGCTCCAAACATATTTTATTAGTTTTCGTGTATTTACAGAGGTCCATTATAACATGTACATGCATCAATATGAATGACTAGCAATGGTAAGCTTTATATTCAAATTGCACAAAGAAAAATTGAACAGATGTCCTGCAATGAAATTCAAAAATTCGGCGACCAGGGTATTTTTCTTGTGCCTGACAACGCAGGTGCATATACGCTTAGAGAAATAAATAAGATTTTGAGGAAAAGAAAGTATACAAGACTTTTCAATCACCCATATTAGCTTGATTGCAACCACTCTGAGATCTTTTCATTCTTAAAGCACATTAAAACAATGAAAGGAAGATTGTACAATGTTAGATATATATGACATTAGAAATGATATTCGTCAGTGTCTTTGAGGCATCCCTACAGATGAGTATGCTGAAGATTTCTGTTCATGGATACAACGACCTTAGACACGCGTACAGGGTACCAGGAAATGCCTTGAGGAATTGAAACTATTAAGAATATGTATTGTGTACTTTTC